TGATTCGGTGGTGGTTGCGTCGGTGGGGCAAGAAGCCGTGCCATTGAGGTGGCCGGCATACCCGTTGGTGGTGAACTGCTGAAGAAGTTGAATGCGCCAGATGGCGTAATTGTCGACGGTGAGAGCGTGGGGGACAAGGTTCTTGATACTGGAAATGATAAATTTGAGCGTCGCTAGGATGTGAAGGTCGGTGTTTTTGTCGCCGAAGAAGGCAGCGGATGAGGGAGGGTGGGAATTCGCAGATTCTTGATATGCCATGGTCTCGTTCTGGCTCAAGATACCATGAAAGAAACCGAACAGGGAGAGAGAGGAGAGGAACATAGAACTCAGAGGATAGAAAAAATGTAAAATCTATTATTGGAAAAGATAACATTACAGGATTGTTGCACAGTTTATATAGAACTATTAACGGTAAAGCTGTAAATACAAAGCTCTGTGTGTACTCGTTCACACTTATAAGGTCAACAATCTTCTTCAATTTAATGGCAAATTGATGTTAATATAAAGAGAACAAAATAATAAATAATTAAAATTAATCTCCTTATTAAATGCATAAAAGAAATTTTTAAAATTTTAAATCTCCCCAAACTTCAAGTATCATCCATTTTTAACATTCTCTAAAGGGTTCACTATTAATTTTAAATTGGAGCAACAACTAAAGAATCTCCTCCTAAATGCAATATTTCTAATATATAAATTGCATGTAAAATAATATAAATTTAATAAAGACATGCAAAACAAGGGAATCTTAAATTCAATACTTAAATCATCAATTACCATTTGTAAATTAAATGCATTTAGAACTTAATTTTAATTGACTAAAGGAAAAAAGCATGCATTGCATGATACATAAAAATAAATTATTTAATACTACATGCCAAAATAGACATGATGTGTAATTACCACTTCTATAGAAAACAAGTTACTGTAATAACCTAAACTAATATGGTAAAACTAACACATTTAAATTTTACATCTTTTGAAATTCTATGAATGTTTATGAAATTACTTTTTGCTTAAATTAATCTCAGGACCTAAATATTTAATATTGAAATAGAAAATTTGTGTGTAGGAAATCCTTTAGGAGCATTATGATATTGTAATATGGAGGCTACAGTAGTGAGTTCTTTATATTCATGTAGAATAAAATGTTTATTGGGAGTGATGCAACGCATGATTTTAGATGTTGTGATGTTTACCATTCATTTATTTGTAAAAATATGGGTTTATGAAAATTTTGGCTTATTAATTGAACAGATGACAAAAAAAATTGGATAAATTGATATATAATTTTTTTTAACTGTATAACTTTTGGTATATTGTTCTCATTATTTTACATATTTTGAAATATTTATTTTAAATTTTCACCTGTTATTTCTGACTGCATGATATTTTAAATATTTTGATGGGCTATGATATTGATAAAAGTTGTTATAGAAGGATAAAAGCTCTGAAATATTGGCATTAATATTATATATGGATAGTTTTAAGATTAATAACTATTGAAGTGTGTATAAATTTACCTTAAAATTCCGACAACTCTCCCATAAATGTTAAAGTATATTTATATAATGTGTTCGATACTATTTATACATTTTGAAAGTATTGATATTTCTATATTCTTGAGAATGAAATTTTGTGAAGAAGGAAATGGTGGTGGCTAGTTATTGATGCTCATATACATCCTAGTGGCCGGAGGTGATACTAAATGAATGAATGGTGTAACACATTGTGGATCATAAGAGCCTAATATTATTGTGCTATGCACTGGGAGTCATAAGGGCTAATTCTATATTTGTGAAATGTTTGGGAGGTATAAGGTCTTAAGCGAAGACTGATGTGAAGTGTTACAAGAGAATGATGCAATATGTTTACTTTTGTTATCTATAAATGTATGTTAATTCAACTATATGATTGAATTGTTATGTTGGCACATAACATAAAATAACTAAACATCTGATGTGTGAGACATTGTAGTTAGTAACACTATCTTCTATTAAAAAAATTTTATAGGGACAATATGTTTTACTATTTCTGTGATGATAGAATAATTTCTTTATTACTATGTTGTTTATCATGTTCCATGTAGCCTACTGAGTTCTTATTTGCTGATATATGCTCTTTTTACATGTGTTAATTTTAGGTTGGGAAAAGGGAAATCAATAGGTTGAATAAATAAAGATAATATATTTTAGGTTTTAGATATGTGTTTATGTTAGTAGTTTATTTTTGCAATCATGGTGTATTTCTTAAGATTATACAATAATTCTATATCATGATTATTATACATGAATATTTTGACTGTATAACTTTTTTTGAGACGAATGAAAAATATTAATGAGTTTATTTTTTATACTTTAATCTGATGTCTAGTAGCTCTAGATTTTTGTTAATAATTGAAGTGAAAAGAAATTATTTCCAAATATCACAAATCAATAGACAAGACTTGTGTTCAAGCCAAATTACATAAACTTGACTACACTGAATATATATCTCTCTTGGAACCAAAAAATAAATTAAACCTTGTGTCCTATGATTGAATTAAAAAATCTAAGCATCATGAGAACTAAACATGAAATAAAAAATTAGTAGACATGCTTGAATTAACAAATCTATAAATAGCTATTTGCATGCAAGTAAAATCCAAAATCATATTTATCATTGTCATGTCATATTTGTATTGTAAGTTTCCATTTTCACACTTGAAGTGTTTTGCTTGCAATAGGAGTAAGTTAGAAGCACACCGATTGAGTTCATTTTGCTCAATAGTTCACTAAATGCTTCCCAAGCCACTAGTTTGCCATGCTTTAGTTTGAATGCCATCAAGGGGCTCATAGTAACTCAACAAGTTATTATTCATTCTACCTTGTAGTGAGATACCATTTTCCTTCTATATGTTTAGTTTATGCTATTTGTCATTATGAGAGTTAGGAAAAAGTTTTTACCCTTTTTAACCGCATAATAATTAGTGACATGCTAACAAAAAATTGATGTTATTTCTTTTTAGAGAACTCCACACTCTCTCAAAATTTTGGCATGACCTTGCCATAGCCCTCAATTAAGGGGGCAACAAAAATTAATAACATGCTATCTTCAATGCACCTAAACAATGAGGCAAGTGGCATGCAACATTGAACTACTAGTAGATCCATACCAATCACATAAATAATAATAGTTCGAGGTGACGACATCCTTCCTCTCTAACAAGAGTTCATCATTCTCAAATTGTAGAGAACTCATCGAGTAGTTAGAAATTAAAAAAAAAAAACTTTAGATCAAGATCTCATCTCTAAATTTTGGGGTCATATATCAACATATATAACCACTCATTTGTTGGCCAAGTTGGATCTTAAGCTCATTTACATTTAGATCCACTATAGAAGCCCTTCACATAAACATTAGACATACTAGATGCTTGAGAGAGAGAAGGAATAATGGTAATAGTATATTTTAAAGAACCCCATTCACCTTCTCTTTGCACAAGCTTCCTCCAAAGACCGCGATGCATCGATATTTTAATCGAGCTTCACATATGTCCAGGTGAGTAATATCCAGTTGACGACTGAGATAAGATTCCAAATTAAGGCTTCATTTGGAAAGACTTTCTTACTGCTTCTTAAAACAACTTTTTGTACAAAAATTTTTGTATTAAAAGATTATTTTAAATAATAATAATAAAATCATCCCAAATAAAACCATAGTTAACTTATTTTACAACTTTATTTAAGTAAAAGAGTACAATGACTCCATATTAGAGAAGTAAGAAAAAGTAACCACCTTTTGTTTGAAGCATTTAGTGAAGATGACATTGATCGTACACCAACTTCTTCGCTTGCATGGCTTTCAACTAGAAGAGTTAAAGATGTAAGCTCGAATATAGAGATGAATAGGAGAATACTCATTATTTGTATATTACAATAATCCTGCAAGATGAATTTGATGGGCAACTTGTTGATGAGAAAACTATAATTTTATATACTCTCTCTCATTCATGAATGTGGTACATCTTTTATGACAATAACAAATGAAATAAAACTTATTTGTATAATTTTTTTTTTAATATATTCAAAATCATCCCAAGTCTTAAGAATTAATTTGATATAATTTTCTCCTTGCTTTCTAAAACAACTTTTTAATATAATTTTTTTAAACAACAAAAAATAGTAGCTAAAAAGACGACCTTCTAACGACCAAATTAGGATAGTAGGAATATTAGATTTGACTTTTATTAAGGTGGAGAGAGACCTAAAAAAACTTGACTAGAAAATATTAGAAATGAACTTTTTTTTATTAGATTTAAACGAAAATTTGACATTTAACTAAACACAATGAAAAAAAAAAAAGATTCATGTAGCTGATCTCACCTAGTGGGACAAATGATTGATATTATTGTTATAGCGAAAAAAATAATAGTTAAAAACTATCCCAAACGAAGCCTTACTAATATTACTTTTCAAGACATGTCATTGCCTTCAGGATGGGCTGAGCCTTGACTTCCCAACACAAGATTTCATGAGTAAGCTTCATTCACAAATATTTGCATCAAATATTTGAAGAGATATATTGGGATTAGAATATATCAAAAAGCACATAATTGCCCTTTTATAAAAAGGAAAAAGTAATAAAAATCAGAGATAATACAAAGAAATTAAAGAATGGCTCCCTTTCCTCATTTCCTTCTTGCTCTATTGAGTTTCCATCATAGCAAGCTAGACAATTAGATCTGCTTGGATGGAGCTTCAGTTGGGGGACTGGGTTTTTGAGAAATTATTACGTGCGAAGTCCGGATATGTCCGGACTCCAATAAAAATACGACACGTGTCCTTGTACAGAGTGTATACAACTGTACACACTATGCACAAATTACAAAATTATGTAAATAGTATGTACAAACTTATATACATAATTGTACACAATCTATACAAATTTATACAAACTGTGTATAAGGACACGTATCACATTTTTATTGGAGTCTGGACGTAACTCAAAAATGTGAGTCTGGACGTAACTCTACGTCCGGACTCCGCACATAATAATTTCTCGGGTTTTTTGGGGTGTAGGACTTGAACCAGCAACCACTTTGCATGCTCCTAATTCAACTTTGATCTTATACATTCTTGGTAGTGTAATTAGCATATTGTTTCACCTGCAGATAAATGACTCATGTGTTAGCCAAAACAGATACACAAATCATCAATCAATTGTTCATTTAAAATTTTACATCATGAACTAGTTCTCTACATGAAAGTTATACTCTTCAAACATGATTATTCAATATATGAATTATTGGCTATTGCATTGGTAATGCTTACCAAAAAACTATTCCACCCTCTCTCAAACTTCTCAAGACCAGCGTCAAAGCCATTGCCAATACTCCACTCTTCACCAAAAACTATCCCATGTGGTGGTCTCAGCTCATCAGATTATTCAAAGAAAATGGCCTCTACTGCTTTCTCAACGGCACAACACTATGTTGGCATTGGAAGGGATGGCAAAACACTCCACAGATAGCGCTAGATAAATCAGTCCCAATCCCAACTACTACACTTGGCAGCTACTCTATTCTCTTATATTCCCTTCTACTCTTCCTAGTGTCCTAAACCATGAATCTACACATTTTACTTAGGCCTCGTTTGTTTTAGCATTATTTTTCCTTCTTCGTTTAGAAACGGAGAAATTATTTTTTAATTGTTGTTTGGATGTGATGCTTCTATAGAAATACTTTTTAGGAAACTTTATTTTTCTACTGTTTTGAAAAGTTTTTTGATATTTGTTTCTCCGTTAGAAAACTCTATTTCCTTGACTATTGTTTCTAAAACTACCTTTTACAAAAGAAGAGGAAAAACCAAACGAAGCCTTACTCTTGCCAAAATACTTCAATCCACAAACCGTTCCCGTGTCATATAACTAAAAAGTGAATAGCATCACATCTAAAAAAAAAACCAAAATATTTCAAGATATCTCTTGGAGATCAAAGTGCTCCAATATCATCAGCCATCAGCTCAGACATGGATAACAAATACATTATTCTCAACACTCTAAATGGCCTATCACCTGCCTACCAAGTTTTCAAAACCGCCATTCGCACAAATCTAGAACCAATTAGCCTAGAGAACCTCTACTACGTGATATGCAAAAAAAAAAAAAAAAAAAAAAAAAAAAAAAAAAAAAAATGCAGCTAAAAACATCAAAGAAAAATCTGTCTCATAGGTTGCCCTTCACATTTACCACAACAGAGGCATGCACAATGTTGACTTCCACATATCCGCCAAATTAGTGCGAACGAATGCGACGTGTGCGATAACCAAGCAGTGTGATGCATTACTAAAGTGCTCAAACGATCTCTGATCACCAAACGGACTAGGCCGTTGCGATCAGAACGTCAACTTTACTTAAGCGGGAGCCCTCGCAGTCAAATTGAGCGAGAACGATCAAAATCGACGACTAACAAGCGAAAATGATGTGCAACGCTACCTAAACGATATCTGATTGCAGAACAGACTTTGCCATTACGTTCAGAACGACTGCATCGTCTAAGAATGACTATAATTTTGCTTAACTAAACTCACACGAGAAAATCAGGATGGATTCCGAGGCGATGATGACATGTATTTCGAGGCGACAATGATACGAATTATGAGAAATCACCTAGAGGATTGATCTATTACTCTCACTAGCATTTAAATTATATATATATATATATATCATTTTCTTTATTTTTTTAATCCAAAATTTACTCAAATCCTCTGTCAATCGGCTGCCCATTCCCTATAGACCAGTGTCGAACTGTCCCGTCTCCCAACCGGATATCCTGCTAAAATCACGCAACGACAGCTCGATTCAATCGTCGTCTGCTCACATTAAAATACGAACAAAGCGAGACTGACTTCGTTTGCTTTTTCCACGCATGAAATCCTCCAGCCCATCTATACCCCATGCCAATCTCTTTACTCCACAAACAGCCCTTCTAGCCAATCAAATGAATAGGCCGTCGAACCCCTTCCACTCGTTCAAGCCTTCAGATCCCGTCTCCTTCCGTCCAGCAATCCCGTTCAATTCTTCCACCACTCTCGTATTCCCCAAGGTGATCTCTTCCCTGTTTTCACGCAAGCCTCCTCTCGATTTCTCTACTGGTCACCTGCAACTGAGAACCACATTTCGACCTCACCATCAAACTCCAACTCCCTTTACTGTGCTCGTCAATCTCACAACCATGCTAATCTCCCTACCACAAGCAGATCGATCAAGCTCTCTACGCAGCCGTAGTTCTCGATCCCGCCGGATATCCGATCTGAACTAGCTGTAGCGGCCCGTAAGCGGCCGATCCAGTCAATCCTCTGACCTCCATCATTTAGCTGTTTGAACTGATTGATCGTGTACCTCCTCACCCACGAGATCCAATTACTCACCAGCCACGCATTCCTAAGGAAAATCTCGATCTTCCAGCCTCACGCAAGCCAGCCCGACTTCAACCTACCAATCTTCCCTCTCTACCGACCAACTTCAAACCGGTCAACCCAAAGCCCAGTCTGATCTCCCTCTATAACCGATCCCGCAAACAGTACCAAACATCCCTTGTAACGGAATCTCCAACCGAAAATCTCATTTTTCACTCCAAAATGCCGTGAAAGTGCCTTGATTCATCTCCAATCGAACGTCATTTTACCAGTAACGGTTCTTCGCGCGTTTCTTCGGCAAGTTCGGTAGAGAGAAAAAAATGTCGAAGAAGAACAGTGCAACGCCAATATTGACGTCGCACTGTTCTATCTCCAATCAAATTGCGTCAAAAATGACGGTCGGTTGGGACAAAGCAAGAACGGCAAACACTATTGGAGTTGCCCTAAGCTGCACGTCTGCCCAAATCCCTTCACCACACCCTCTTCTATCTACAACCTTTACAAACCATACTCGTACATTAATCTCCCCACTACAAACAAAAACCACTCTTCCAGCAACTCATTCCCAAGGCCCTTACACTACACAACAACCTTTTTTTTAATATTTTTATTATTAATTAGTATTATTAACTAAAATTATTAGTTATTAATATTATTACTCTTATTATTATCATTATATTTAAAAAAAGAGAAAAAGAAGAGAAGAAAAAAGAAAACATGTTTTTTGTGTTTTCGTCATCATCATCGCCTCAACAACACCGTCGCCGTTGCATCCATCGTGCAAGGTATAATGCCCTTTGAACTTAAAATCCTTCAAAATCCCACTTTCAGTGCTCTCAACATGCCAGAGGACCACCGATGCAAGGGTAAGACCTAACTACCAGTGTATGAGCGTCTATGCCTGCGGGGAAAAATTATGTTTCCAACATGCATCCCTAAAGACTCATGCACGTTTTTCTTGGCATTGTGTGATTGAAGACCATGGCCACAGTGTCATCTGACACCGACCCACCAATCATGCACATTTTTTTTGACGTGTTGGGCAAGCAAATACTCCCTAAAATTCTCAGAAATAGAGCTGAAATTTGAATAGACGATGAACAAAACTTCAACAGATAACAGGGAACCAAATTTATAATTATAGGGAACATAACTTAATATCTAAAAAAATGAAGAGAGAGAAGAAACCTATAATTTACAAAATAACTAAAATTAAGCATGCAAATGAAAGGCTTCTGATGGACAACAGTTCAAAATTTGACTGTAAGCATTGATTAGCAAGAATCAGATGGAATGTAATAATCTACGTGCATGAAACTATACAAAATTCCTAATAGATAAACAACATAAAAACTCATAGTGCTCATGTCAATCAGCCTATGAGCAAGAAAAGGGACCTACATTACAATAGCTCGTATGCGAGGGAAGACCAAAATTTGTAATGAACTCACCAGCTCACCCACAATCAGTACCAATCAACTTGCAGACGAACACACTAATTCGCCTATAGACAACAACACTGGCTACAATCCTACAAGCATATACTAAAAGATTGTAAAGAATGCAATAATATGCTTATGAGTAAAGCATGGATGATATGTGATGACTGTAAACACTGACCTACGAGTGTATGCAAGAGACTCATAATGAAAAGAATGGGTTGCCAACGGGCATGAGCATAAACTTATGACGCACACAATAGCTCGTTTACAAGGAGCTACAAGAAGCTCGTGAGTCCTTATGGGTAGCAGCGCAAGATATGCAAGAGTCATGGTAACTTGCCAACCAACAAGCAATAGGTTGTGAATGTAGTAGTCTTCTTGTGATTGATGACAACCAGCTTGCAAATAAGCGCAACAATCCCCTACGAACATTGAAAGTCAATACACAATGAATGTGGTAAGTTGCCAACAAATGAATATGGAGAAATTGGCGGTGAATGCAGCCTAATCGGTAGTCAACATCAACATGCAAGCAAACATACCAATTTCTCATAAACACAAGAAAGCTAGCATGCAAAGTGAATATAGCAATTTACCAATCAATGTGCATATAGAGATTGGCAATGTATATAGCTCACCTGGCAGCCTACATCAACATACAAATGAGCACATTAACTTACCTGCAAACAACAAAGCCTCTAGCAAATACACACAATGCAACACATGATGAATGTGAACCCCTACTATCGATGACAGAAGATTCTCCATATGCACAACAATATACATATGGGGTTATGATCAGTGACAGGCAGCAAATGCTACGACAGTCAACACCCTTACAATCAACAACTATTCAATGTCAAAGAAATACATTGATCCCCTACAAGCAAAGACGGTTGATATGTAGCAAATGTAAGCACCTACTAGCAGCTGTAGAAAACCCGTTATGCACACAACGTACCATCTTCGAGCAAATACAGAAGATGTAGTACATGCAAATGCTTACGAGCTAAGATGGTGACTTTTGAATACCCGCTGATGACCTACGAACAAATCCAATAAAGTTTGCAATTCACAAGAGATCGCTCGCAAGAGGCAATGAGCGGCCCGTAACACAACGTTACAATTCACCTGTAAGCAAAAGCAAAGGATTTGTAGTAAAAACTGCGGGCCATTAGTAGACTGAGGCAACAAATTTGTGACGCTATGCTATCACACCAGATAAACCAGCTCAATTACAAACAATAGGTGGAAGGCTCCTGATGTCACGACCCGGCTCGTGTAAACGAGACGGGAACGGATGTCAGACATAAACGATATAACAAAACATGTAATTATCATAAAACATGCATTGAAGAAGAATCTAAAACACTTCAAAAGGAAAATAAAAGCACCTCTAAACAACTTTCCAATTTAAACTAAGCATTTCATATAATTGCATATAAAGTTGCATATATATAGAGGTTGCTAAAATATCTCTTTCATTCATGACAAACCACCCAAAAAATTTAAACTACAACTTAAAGAAACACAATAGGAACCTGTCATCTGGTCCTCTACGACTATAAGTGAACCAAGGTCAGTCAGTCATTCATAGCAGAGAGTTCTCCTAAAAAAATATCCCAAAATGAGGGAATGAGCTAAAGCTCAATAGGTAATACTAACTCTAACAAATTCATATACCAATAAATAAAATTCAACATGTATGCTAAAAGTGAATTTACTCATCTTTATGATTATGAAAAGTTATGATTGTTTTGCTAAGTGTCACATGCTATAGTTCATAGGCATATCATTTCAACTATTTCATATGTTATTTGTGCCATAAATGTTCTAATATGATTGCTTATTCTTTAACTTATACAACCGTACCAGAGTACCAGAAGTGTATTGATCAAGTACACAAACATAGTTTTGGCCATATAATCTTTCTTTCCTCTTTTCATCGAAGAGCCATATTGCTCATAAGAGCCGTATTATGCTATTGCACCATATTTAATACTCCGCCTTCAACATGCACATTCATTCAAATATTCTTTTCATAGAAATTTAGTGTAGCAATCTCATATCAATCATATGCATTGAGTATTAGGCAAGTTTACATGAAAGATTGCATTTCAAAGAACATCTAATGTGCCTTGCAATTAAAGAAAGAGACTTCTATGCATTGCTTGCTATTAAATAATGAGAACATTTAATATGCATTGCTATTAAATAATGAGAACATTTAATATGAATTTCTAAGTGTTAAACATTTCAAAACATAATATAAATGAATATGAGTTTGAAGAGTAAAGTGTTACTGCCTCAAATGTCACTTCTTGAACCATCGCCTCACCGGTCTCTCCTTAACACCTCTTTTGAAGACCTAATGAAAAGACGTTACAACACAACATAAGTCTTTTTATACCATTACATGTCATTTAGACATCACTATTCCTACACATTCCATTATTTAATTACATATTAATCTTAACATAAAATTCTCTCATTAAGATCATTAATACTCATTAATCTACCCACAACCTAAAGCATTTTTTTAATCAAATATTTATTAATGTTCATACATAACCACAATCTAATGCATTCTTATCAAATAATTTTCCTTAATTAAAAGTAATTCAAAAGCTAATTTTCAGATTTATCTAAATTTCAATTTTTTTGAAACATAATTCCTCACTAAATTCATTAAACTAGCATACTAAAACATCCCTCTTACCTAATTATAAATTTAGGGTATTAAATTTTCGAATTATTAAATGTAATAATTAGGAAAAAATAATATTTTTTGAAAAATTCTCAATTTTCACCATTAGAGCCCTCCTAAGGTTATTTGGAAACACATTAGTTAAGCACTCTTAAAAAATTTTCCAATATATGAAAAACCTTAAGATTTGAACCTAAAATTCTTAATGAAAACTTTGCATTTTAATGACTAAAAATCGTTCCTAAGTATTCCCAAACCTTCTCTCCAAAAGATTTTAAAGTTTGATCAAACCCTAATTTCTAGACTCAAAATTTTTCCCATCAAATTTTGATTTTAATTCATAAAAACGTTCATAATTGCAAGGGTAATTATTCTTGTAAAGAGATTTTGGAGGAAAAGAATTTTGTGAGAAATCCTAAAAATCTCCTTCAAAGAAAATCACATGAAAAACTTAAAATTTCCTTCAAGAGATCATACCTTAAACTTTCCCTAGCCTTCCTCTTGATATTTCCCAAAGAACTCGCCGGAAACCGCCGCCGGTTGCCGGTTTTCACAAGCTCCGCCGCCCTTCCTCCCCTCTCTCACGCGCCTTCTCTTTCGGTTCGGCCGAAACAACACAAGGGACCGAAATAATAGGTCCCTTAAGGCTTTAAGGGGTTTTAAGGAAAAAGACGCATGTGCCCTTCAAGCTTAAAATTTCCTTAAGGTTCATGATGTAACACCTCACAATACCCCTTAACAGTAAGGTAGAGTGTTACAAGAATAAACATAACATTTTCATCGCGTAACATCTCATTCATATCATTTGCATTAAGACTTCGTATAAAAGATCATATAAACTTCATATAATACAATAAAGGAAGCATGTACCAATTCTCAAGTTTCATCCAAAGGCTAGTACAGAGCCACTAAGGAAAACTAAACAATTTCAAAGTAAATACATGTCTAATTTGCTTTCACATCTTGAAAATTTAACTTACTAACAAAAGGTAACCTATCATGAAAAGAAGAAACACTTGCATAAACTAGTCTGCATCAATCTTCTCTTTTCCCTTTCCTGTAACAGCAGCCAGAAGAAAGTTCTGGTGAGCTGTGAGGCTCAGCAAGTAATGCAGAATTTATTTGCATTTAAAATAGTATAACATGAATGAATTATAACTTTGAAAAGTATTATTGAAACATTACTACAAGTCTTGATCAATATTATGCTTTGCTATCTTCTGAATATTTGTTGAATATAAATTTTATGTGAAAGATTTGGCTATATTTTCATAACATTATTCAATGGAGCCCAGGTAAACCTGGCATTATCACCATTGAATTACTTAGAGGTCCCTTTTGCCTCTTTGGGGTCCCTTTTTCCCCACCTACTATGCAGGTTTCATAATTTTCTGGGGTCCCTTTTGCCCCACTTATCATGTAGTTCTGATATGGGAACCCTTTTGTCCCAACTATAATGATAAGGCATACATTATTCATAGTCAAACTTTACATTTATTTTTAGAGCAAATCTCTAAATATATCTTGATAACAATCTCTAATAAATTTCTTCAATTACCTGAAGTATTAACTTTGCTGATGCTTCACACGTTCATAAAAAAAACCTTATTCAATTTCTCTTCTTGATTCCAATCTCCACGGCTGCTATGCTTACCCGATTCCTCCTGTATTGAACCGATTACTTCTTTGCTCCTTGCACTATACCGAGAATTCTACTCAGCCTTCACTATGCCGCCCTTTGCAAATCACTGTGCCGAACTCCTTCACTGGCTTTGCGTGAAACAGAACAGAGAAATCTCTGTTGGCTTGCAAACTTCGAACATAAGAATAAATGAGAATGGGCCCACACGCTTACGTAACTGTTATTATCCTCACATCCTTTAATAACACCTTTTCAGGAATAGAGAAATATCTATTTTTTATTTAATACTTATCCATTGGAAAATTTTATTTCCAAATCATATGGTTGCCGTGAACTGCTATCTCATTTACACTTTTAGAGAAAGCATTTCTTTAGAATTATGATAGACTTATGGCTTACCAAAGTAAATTACTTGACAATACATCTTGTACTATTATTTACTTAACTATTATACTTCTATTAATTACAATTAATCTTAATTTAACAACTGGCGGTTAGTAAATTTTAAATGAAATTTTAAAAGTATAATTAAATAAATTTATATTTTTCATACCTGAGTTTTGGGTATTACACATGAGGGGTAAAATGAGTATAAAGGGCTAAAGTTTACTTAAACATCTTCGACGAATTTTAATTTATATTCGTGCAACATTTGATATAGGTTCTTTATATCATTTCGAATGAAATTTTGCGTAGAATTTAAAAAACTTATTGCGTCAAATTCTGACTTTGAAATTTTGCCTAATTTTGTTGTGGCACATCGAAATGCGTGCGATGCATCCGATTGAAAGTTTTCGGGTTTTACACCTGATGCGACGCACATGGTATTTGCAGGCTGAAGAACACTCTTGTGGGCCGAGTACTGAAGAAAATAATAGCTTGCAGAAGATGAAATGAGCTAAACAATGTCATTGAATCCACAACATCCGTACAAGCGGACAGAAGGTGTTCACCGACTCTTCAAGGAAGCTCATACATCTTTCAAATGATCACTACTTGCCAACAAGAGTTTAGTGTTGCGCGGCAACCAACCTATAATAAGCAACAGGCAACCCATAGCGCAGCGCCACGCCACCAGATCCACAACAATCATACACGCGAACAAAAGGCATCTGTATATTCCAAAATGAGACATTGCATGCTTGTTAGTGATGGTCATTTGCATAGCTATCTATAACTAAATATTGCACAACACCCCCATGCATTGAAATGCACACTGATGCATTCAAATCGTGCACATACAAGTTGCAAAATATAAAGCACGTGACACAAGCATGCTATCCCACATGTAAAATACATTTTATAGTGATAGCCTTCTACGTTGACTTGCAAATACATCATGCACTACATGAAAGTAATGGAGTATTATGCAAATGCATTATGCAGACAAATGGACAACGCATAGATACATTATACATGCATACAACACAAATACATTATACGCTACGTTAGTGCACCAAACCATTGCATTGTATATTAAGCATATCATGCAAGATGCAAATGCATATGCCAACATACATGTATATATGAAAAACACATAAGTGCATACATAAGTATGTTAACATGTAGATGAAAATTTAAGTGCATATGTGAGCATACAAATACGTCGAGTACACCCATTGCACTGCATAGATACAAACGCCATACAAATACATCATAAATAATGCATTCAATGGCATATATCCGCATGGGCCCCAACAAGCATGACGTATGCATACATGTGATGTCTAATGATATTGCACGGGTCACGAAATTAACTTTAATTCAAGCCCGATCCTCTGTCGGCAGAGAGACAAAGTTGATACGGCTTGAATCATTAAACAAATACATGATCGTGGTGCCAATAAGAGTATTTGTTTTACATGTTCATATTAAGCATTCAAGGTCTCTCACAAAAAAATAAACTCACACAACAAAATGAATATCCCGAATTTTGATATCCACACAATAATTCCATTAATTAGGAGCCCGATGATGATTGTATGCATAAAATTCTGATGATGATTGTATTGACAGAAGATCTCAACCGGTGGGGACCCCAAACATTCAAAATGCATCTAAACTCCTATAAAATATATTCAATTGACTTTAATGTATTTATGAATGATGTCAATATTTAAAATTGAAATAAAACACCTAAATATGTAAAGCAAAATACTTATCCACCCTCCGTAATAGTTTGTTGAGTTGGACAAGCTTGAAAATTACATTAACTCACAAAGAGAGAATGTCAAGTCAAGAATATCATTAAGATTCATTCTCAAATCATCTCTTGCAAGTAAGGACGTGGCACATATCGTCTAACCGGTGGTTTCACCACCAAATGACATCACATATAAATGATTATAACTGGGACCCTCTGATAAGGCGATTTTAACGCCAAATGCAGGGGCGGAACCTGCTTCAATTTTGAGGGGGGCAAATACAACACAAAAATAATTAAATATTAAAAAATACTATTATATATCTATATATCACGACAAGTTTTTTTAAAAAATTTAAGCAAAAAAAATAAAGAAAAAAAGTGTAATTAAACTGTCATGAAAAGCATGAGATAGAAGATTAGAACTAAATGTGAAGAAATATATAGATATTTTAGGGCAAGTTAGGACAAACAAGTTTTTTAGGGGGGGCAAAAAAAATTTTTTAGGAGGGGCAACATTTTTTTTTTTACTCTCCTATAATTTTTTTTACTCCTATAAAAAAAAATCTTTTTTTTTATCCGCCCCTGGCCAAATGACACCATTAAATTACATTCATGGTCAGAGCCCGTATGTTCCACAACAGTGCTAAATATTTGAGCATTGAATCAATAGGATATGATCGATAGGGCACAAAGCCCTATGCTAGCTAAGGTGGATTCAAATATATCCACTTAGACAAATATTCGCCACATGTCTACAAGGTACCCTTCGACGAAGAAACCCATGTCTGCCAACAAGTATCCTTCAATCAGGTTGGGTCGACTACCTCATCTGACTAAGTAGGATAAGGACCATGATGACCCGGAATGACGGAACCACGGGATATTGATTGAGTCTATTATCATTCCCCCCGCCATCTATTTTAAGTGCAAGGTGGTGAATTTTTAATTTTAAATACCTAAACATGCTATACTATGTGTCGAATACTATGCATCTATTTGACGACTAGCCATAATCGAAAGTTTTCTCGCTACTGAGAGGGGTAATTAACTATAAGGGTTTGCGCATATAAAAACATGAACTAAGATCATAAAGACCTCGCAAAATAAGGGCTAAATCTTTGGATAATGTTTTATCTAAAACCCAACTGCCTTCTAAAACTTTGACTCAGAACTTGTTATAACTCTCCCCGACGACTCGAAAAAAGAGCCGCGGAGAGACTAGGACCCAAATTTTCGGAGCCCACACACAACTTATGTTAAGTCGAGGCAGAACTAGTGAAATACAAGGGAATGCCGCAACACACCTCCTAGCAAGCGTGGCCTAAACACAACCAACCTAGTGATACGTCAAATATGTAAAAAACGAGGATACTCATTATGATGTGTTGGCACCAATCCAATCCACAAAATTTTCCACCAAACAATGCATAAATAAATTGTACTCTAATTATGCTCAACAAAAACCAACTTTGAACCCATGCGTTAAGTAACTAACTACATTTATGTATGTGCAACACTGTAGCTTCTCATTATATATGTGCAACTGTAGCTTCTCATTTACGCATGCGTTAAGTAATGTAACTCAGCTATTCTCCTTCTCACCATATACTCTAATGAATTTAATCTTTATGTATCCCTCCTTTACCCTTCTGAATTTTCCTCTCAGCATCTCATTCTGTTTATCAAATTAATCCAGCATTCACTTCAGATAGCTTTAAACTCTAAGAATTTTGAAGATTGCTTTTGGAGCAGCCATTTTTGATGTTCAGTCAACCGGAAGGCAATGCTCTTCTTCAAAAGCAAATAAGTTTAGATTAAGCTTAAAGCTTTGAGCTTGTGCCATATCGATTGATGTTGAGCTGCATATTCAACTTGATTAAGATCAATGCCAAATCAAATGGGATTTGTATCTATTACCAATTTTCTGCAACTGAAAAGATTTGTTTCGGCTTCTTGGTCTAGAGATGAAGCCACTACACCCATTTACACCTTTGCTGGATTAACTATGATTTGGAGCATTAAAAATAATTAAATGATATGAGGAATATCAATCACAGTTTCGTCCACGGAAAACTAGAAAGTTATGCAAAATTGTTCATTCATACCATGAAATGATATGAATGCAAATCTTCTCGACCATTGTATATCATCAATGACGTGAATCAAAATAAGGATGTTGCAGGGCTTCATCAACACTAAAACGGTCCTCCTGAAAAGTAATACAGTTAAAAACACGTAAAGTATTAGAAGAGCATCAATTTAAAAAGCAACGGTTGAAATGGAAAGCATTAAAAATGACAAGCTTTAGCTAATTCACGGAAGCATTAAGCTATCAACATAAATGATGACGCCCATTTATTTTTGTTAGTCCCCTTAATCCCATTTTTCTACCATGTCTAAAAAACTAACTGTTTAAACTGACTATGAAGTTATTTTGTAGAGAAATATGCATATCAAAATTTTTTAGCAAGGATTGGAAGAGTGAAAGATTTATAATCTCTCTCCATATGAAAGATAGGGGAACTCAGACCAAATTCCAAAAAATTAGTAAATGGGTTTACGGAAGATATTTGTAATTTGGAGCAGCTAACCTTTCAATCATAAGATTTCCGGTCATCCACAAATTTCTTCACAACAACAGCTAACAACTGCTAGGCATATTAAAGGAAAATAGTAAGATGGCAGTTTTCTAAAAGTTCCTTCACAATAACTCCACTATTTGACCATTTCTTTCATCACTCAACATAAAATCCGCAAAAAAAAGCAACATTAGAGGAGATTGTGACCGCTATTGAGGGTGTTTAATAGATGAACCTAGTCACATAGAAGGCAAAGTTTCTTATAATGATTAGTGGGTCTTGAAATAGTTATTGGAAATCTTTCAAGGAGTTCCAATGCTCGCGCCCAAATTATTGATGAGATATTGAACATCAAATAGGAGTGTACCCATGGAGAAGAAACCATTTTTGTTCCAGTGAGATGCCTGAAGAAGAGCTCATAAATTGTGCCAACCTCAAAGATCAAATTCTTAATATTTCTTTTCTTCCACTCTTCCATCTTCCATACTTTACCATGTTTTGAATTGGAAGTTCGGTTATTTCATATGTTCCACATATTTTGGGGTTCAAATCATTGTGCAAATTCTCAATAGCAGTTAATCCTCATATCTCATGGTTAAAAAATTATGGTATAACAAATCTACCACATGATTCATAAGGATATGGATTTCTTTTACTTTCTCATCACCAACAGTAACTAGTTTGATTATATAAAATAGCTATCTTACGAAGTGACTTCAAGCATCCACTTGGAAAAAAAGAAAATAGGGAGCAACCTATTTCAGAGGGCCATCTTCATTTTGACACCAAAAAATGAGAGATTTATCAAAACTTGTAGGACGTAAATGGGTTACTATCACATTTAGTTTTCAATAATGTTTTAAAAAGTACGCAAGTAAAGACAAAGCATATAACAGGTAGATTAACTTGGATGCTGAAGAAAGCAAACTTACAGGATGCCATACTAGGAGCTGACGCACTAACCGCAATGCCCAAATATTAGGAAAACTGCATAGCATTAAGAAACAGATTTTGTACAAGCTTATGAAAAAACTGGACAAAAGCCCATACTAGGGATAAATAACGAAACAAGACTAACCCAAGTTTAAGAGGATCTCTATTCTTGACTTGATTTGAGAAGGACTCCTCAGAACATTTCCAGGAAGCTGGCCACACACCACCCTTGTTTGCATAAATCACTAACATTCATCAATATGTTCCATAAAAAATAAAAATTTAAAAAAGCACAAAAAATAACTGATGAAAATTGCCAAGGAGGAGAAACTAGGTAACAAAAACAACAAGCCACTCATAAATATCAAATAACAAAATCATATGCAAGAACAGTATTACGTAAATAGACAAAAAGATAATTTTAATAACTATGGATTCAACCGCTATAGGACATAGGACTGCAGAAGTCATACTATTCACATCATTTTATCCAACCAAATAGATTTGGCTATAGAATTAGATTTGATGTAGATTACAACTTGCTCCTTCCAGACTGGGACTCGTAAGACTAGGTGTCTCTATACTTTAAAAATCTACTAAACTGGTTATATTACTATCAAAATGATAGATGAAAAGTAGGCTTAACACCTTATGCAGCTAGCTAAGAAAAATAAGGATTGATTAAGATGACTCCAAATGACACCCATTGAAACAAGAAAGGAGGAACGATAGAACCTACAAATTAATGAGTACTCCAAGCCTCATAACAACCAATGACCAAAACTTTTAACCCAAATAAAGAACTAGAGATTTAAAAGAAGAAAAAACAAAAAATAAAATAGTAAATTCAGAATTACATCTGCTAGAGAAAATAAATGATCGAAGCTGCTATATCTTTGGAATTGCCAAGAGAATTCCTTGGCCGACTGTTTTATACAGCCCCTACTAAAATAGCTTCCCACCGATTCTGGATGAAGAAAGTAAGGGAAAAGACCGGTGCTGATGTGATGCATGGATGGAGTTACACAAGAGTTAAAATAGAATTAAATTCTAGCTCAACCAATTATATAATCATGTATCAAAGTTAATTCGATTACAAGAAATTCATGATGTTCAACTCGCTAGGCATAGAAATTTCAACAAGATAGACAAACTATTTAAACAATTGCAAAGGAAAACATAAGGCTACGACTAGTAAATAAAAATCCCACAATTAATACGGAGTTGTTCACACCTTGAGACATTTATCTCTCTTTCCTACGGAGACTAGGTTGAGCGGCGGAAGATTGTCCAGACTAGCATCGAGGTTGCCACTAAGATGGAGGTGCCAAGGAACGTCGCCGTGGGAAAGGATCTCGGAGGCGGAGGGGGCACGGTAGATCGACCTTTGATAATCCACGTGTAGACGGAGAAGTGTTCGTCGATGGAATCCACTAGCGTCGGCAAGATCCGGTCCAAGTATTCTTCGACGGTGTCGTCGAAGTCAAAGCCAGACGTCGAAGAACTGTGATCGGAGGATGTTGACCCTTCCGTTGTTGTCTACTCAAAACCGAAGTTCCACTCGGGTACGTTCCATGCATGCTTGCAAGTGAAGCCGGGTGGTCGCCGCAAGAAAGGTCTCCAACGGAAGGGAGAGAGGGGGCGGCAGCTTGGAGAGGGAAAAGGAGGGCCGGCGGTAGAGCAAGGGTGAGGGGGCGGGCTGGTTGAGAACAAAACTGAAGTTTAATTTCAGTTTTGTGAAATTGGGAGGGAAGGATTAAGTTTTGAAATTCCAATTATGTAATCAATGCATTAATTGAAATTTCAATTGAGCCGGCGGTAGGAAGAGGGGATTAGGGGGATAAAACTGAAATTATTCAGTTTAAGATGAATGAGGAAAATTATTCAATCCTAATTTGAATTTCAAATTGGATTTGAGACTTAATTGAGCAATTAATGGGATTTCCCATAGGGGCCGGCGGCATAGTAGAGGGGAGGGAATTGGGGAGAGGAAAGGGGGTTTCCAAATAGAATTTGATGACTAGGAAGATTTGAAAATAAATCCACTATCATGTAAATTTTATTTTGAATTGATTTTCAAAAACTTTCCAAAAATAGAATTTCCCAATTTGGAAAGTAGTGAAATTTGAAAATCAAATTTCAATGAGTTGGGGGAGGAGAAGGGGAGAAGTGGTGAAGAGGGAGGGTGGCCGGCGGCAAGGTGATCGGCCGGCGGGCCTAGGGTGGCCGGCGGTTGGGCTCCAAGGATGCAAATTTGCTCACGAAAATTCGGCTCCTTCCCACGGTTGATTATTGCATGCGGGAGATGTAGATAGAGAAGATGAAGGTAGCAGGTAACGACCTCGAGAACTCACTAAGAGATCTCTAAAGGAACTCACAAAGAGATCCAAATGTTGGCACTCACAAAGAGAACACAAAAACACAATTTTCGTTCAATAAGCCAATCCACTCATACAAGATACAAGGGGCCATATAAATAGGCTCCAAATAAAAAGTAGATGCAAAAGTCTAAAATGCCCCTTGGGGCTACAAGAGCAACTAATACCCTCAGGGGTAAAATGGGAAAACTAAGAAAATAAATGCATAACATATAAACTGCTAATACAAATAAAATCAATAATAGAGGCTCTCCATCATGGCCGTCGATCTCCGTGGTCGTCTCTGATAGACGCGCCGAAATCTCCTATCGATGACCTCATCAGGTGGAGGCTGTAGATGGCCCGGTTTCCGGAAGAACATAAGGAAAAACTTGGACCGTAGTTGCTCAGGGCCAAGAAAAGGTGTTAGGATTGAGGAAATTGGACAACAGAGACATGATGTAGGCTTGGTGTAGTCCTAATGACCTTTCCCTACGTCCAGCTTAGCTGTGTTTGGAGTTCTTGATGCCTGGAATGTCTTCCTGTTTGTTGGCGTCAGCTATAGAAGAGGCGGCTCTTGCCAGAAATGGCCAAGACGACAACTACTGGAAGTTTTCTTGGACAAACAATACAAGAAATCTCACCTGGAATTGTTCCAGTGACCTGAGATGGAACATGATTCTTGCGCAAATCCACCAGAATGCAACTGCCAATGGCTGGAATCTATTTGGAGCATCTGGAACCAGTGGAAATGCACGTCGACCTCTTTATTGGGCCTGTAATCGCCGGACAGCAGCTCAAACAGAACAAAGAAGACTAGAAAAACGGCAAACCAATCTTGGCAAGATCTTGGACCAACCCACTATGATTCCCTTCTTCCTATCCTCTCATTGATATGGGAAAATCCACCCCGAAGTGAAGGGAACTCCTTCCCTATTTCAAAAAACCTGAAATGAAAGTTCTCAAACGCCCCCTAAAAAAAATCACCTCCCCACATAAGAATTAGGTATTTATAGGAAAGAGCCTAAGGACTAAAACATACTAACTACTAAACTAGCCCTAAAAAAAATAAGAGAAAAGTGAGTATAAAGTTATTTTTTCCTTAATAGAAATAACCCTCTATCTCTATCATTGGCGGAGGGAGGGGCACGTGCCTCCTCCCCTCTAAAAAATTTTTTTTGAAAGAAAAAGGATATTTTGTTGTAAAGAAGAAAATGATGGGATCAAAGCTAAAAATCCTTCTCTCATATTTTGTTTTTATTTCAAAGTGTGGGTTTCTACAAACTTCAATCTGATCGTTTTATGATGGAAGCGAGTAACGAGCCTCATAAACGATCTTAAAAGCATAAGTGACAATGAATGCCACACATAAGAGATGATATATACTTTCAGGATAGCAGAAAAAATTTCATGACCGGCAGATAAAATGTAGGTTGTGAAATAAAATTGGAGATCAATGGCTGAATGATAAGTTACTTGTTTATATTGAGAAAGATATTTTAGATAGTAATGATAATGAAGTAATCATTCAACTCTTTCAGAATATTAGGAGTAGGCGTTATAAACTGTAAGTTGCTTATTTTTTATATTTAATATTCTACCTTCTTAAAGAATAATTTGAAAAAAAAAAATTAGAATTGCCTATGTCGGTAACAAGATTGAATGTAAAAAGTTGAGGGAAAATAAAAAAAATAATAATTTAGGCCCTCCTACATAAATTTACTGGCTCCGCTACTGATCTCTATCTTTGTCATTCTCCCTGAGTTGAAGGAGACTCACCCTCGATATCTTGAACATATTCTTATTGACAGTCAGGTGAAAGTATTAAAATGTTGAGTGTTTTGGTAGGATAATCATATCATGCAAAATTCTTCTTTGTTGGTATAAGGTGCTTTTGATCATCTCAAGTTCAACTATGTTTTTAATATAGAGCACTAAAGTCAAGGTATCTTTGACAAAGGATATGAACGATTCTATTTCAAACACTTGATTTATGTTTCCATTTGCATTGTAATAAAGGATGAATTAATTCTAGGATAGGCTCTTCTTCTTTGCCACCTTCCATAAGTTAGGAAAAAAAATGAAGAGAGAGAAAAGACAAGGGTGTTTACAAAAAATGGAGACTTTAGAAAGAGAAAAAAAAATCATTATGAGGACCTAATTTATTCGGTGAGATATTCAACTTATAATACAATAGTCAAATAAATCCTGAAATTTAAGTTTGCGATTTTTTTATTTCATTGAGCAACAATCATCGCATATGAGTGTATTTGTAGAAATTCTTGGATGATGAGCATGTTAAAACATTCAAGAGCATTAAAGAGATTAATACATATTATGTATTTCTACATGTTATATGTTAATTAATTTATATGATTTCAAGTTAATCCACATTAATTGAAAATATAATACTACGAAATAACATATAATACATAAATGAATATTTTTTTACATGTGCCATCATTATGAAATGATTAAATATTTATGTCAATGCTAATAAATGAAAATGATTAAAATAATAAGAATAAAATTAAGAATTTATGAAAGGTCATACCATGTGAGTTAAGTGGATTGAATTTGATAACCCGCGCAAGAACAAATGATTCCTAATACCAGAGAATTGACCAGCCCAACTTTAATCAAGAAAAGATAAATGAAAATGAATTTCTGACTCTTGATACAGGAGAATTGGCTAGCTCAACCTTTTATTAAGAAAATTAAAGGCAAATTCCTAATCCTTGGCTAGCCAAACCTTTATCATGGAGAAGTTGATACAAATGGGGCAAAGCCTATAAGCATGATAATTCTAAAGCTATGATTATTAAGAATGAGTAAAATGATTAAAGTAAGAAAAAAAAGTGAGTTAGAGAGACGCAAGAGAAAGAGAGAGAGAGAGGGGGGGGAGAGAGAGAGAGAGAGGGAGAGGTAAGCAGACACATAATATTCTAAAGAAACTTAAAAGGCAGGAACATAAATAAGATAAGATAATCTCAAACCGTAGAAAGCTTAAAAAATTAACAATATTTTATGAGCTTATAAACCTGCAAATCTCCAAGTAACTTATCAACAAATAAAATATTGATAGTCAAAGAAATTACGAAAAGGGAACTTAAATTGAAAAAAGAAATAAACTCAAAAAAAAAAAAAGACTTACATGGTCTTTAATTCCATTTCTTTGGTGACTATGAGGGGAAATTCCAGGAACTAAAATGCACATCTCCATGTATGATCTCAATCTAGTATTACAATAGACAAACCAGAAGTTAATCAAGATTTTTATCTAGTAATAAACTAATAATAACAATTTACAGGTAATTTCAGGAATCGCAACTTTTACCACTAAATGATTAGAATATAGTATTAGGTTCAGCAGTCATCAGGTGAAAATGGAAGACAGAAAGTAAACTTGACACATTGTCTTTATGCCTATAAGTTACTTGGTAGTAGTCCAACATAAAGCCTTACTGTTTCAAAATACGCTCACATAAAAATTGAATGATGAATGTTTAAAACAAAACTGGAACATCACATTAACTTAGCAACAGTAAAACAGAATTCATGTAAAGAATAAGTATTCCTTGACTTTTTCTCATTTGTAAGTACTCAATGGAAGCATATAACAAAAAAGATAAAAAAAAATCTACAGCTTAACCTAATATCTTCAGTCATTCTTCTATCTTTTCTAACATAAAATTGGCTTTTTGAAAGGAAGATCTAGGATAGAAAGCAAGAAAGAATAATTGCAATCATATATATTTGATTACAAAGATGAAGAAAGTACAAATTGTGGGCTCCAAAAATTCGGCCCCGACCTCCCCCACTTACTTTCTTTGGGAGAGTTTTAACAGAATTAAGTTCCGGGATAAATTTTGGAAGGCATATGGGTTTGTAGATAAGACTACCCAGAGATTTCGCCATCATTTTGCAAGGACGTTATGATCTGAGTTCTGGTTTCCTATAGATGCAAGCCCCTATAGTTAATTACCCCTCCCGGTAACGAGAGAGAACTTTCGATTAAGGCTAGTCATCAATCAGATACGTAGGGATATGTATTATCTGGCATATAGTAGCAGCATATGTTGAATATTGGAGATTGAATATTTAAAATTGAAAATTTCACCATCTTACACTTTAAGCAGATGGTGGAGGAATGGATGATAAGCCCGATTAAGATACCACGATTTTGTCGTCCCAGGCCATTGTGGTCCCTGGTTTACTTAATCAGATGAGATAGTCGACCCAACCTAACAGAATGATCCTTGTGGGCAACCATGGGTTGCGTCATCCAAGGGCACCTTGTAAACCTAGGTGAGATGTTTGTTTAAGGGGGAAATTTTGAATCCAACTTAGCTAACAGAGGGCTTTGTGCCTTATCAATTATATCCTATTGATTCATATCTCAAGGATTTGATGTCACTAAGGAACGTATTGGCTATGGTCATAACCGTTATCTCATGATGTCATTTGACGGCAAAACCACTTGGTTCAGAGGGCCACGTGTCATAACTATTTATCCTGCGGTGTCATTTGGTGAAAAAATCGCTGGTTAGAGGACACATACCACGTCCTTACTAGTAAGAGATTGTTTGAGAATAAATCCTAGTGATATTTTCGACTAGGCATTAGCCCTATGTGAGCTGAAGTAAACTTTAATTTGTCCACCTCGGCAAACTGTTGTGGAGGATTGATGGATTTTGTGCTTTAAGCACTTGATGGGTTGAATTTTAATTTTAAACATTTTGGATTTTGGGAATTTGGGTGGAATTTTGGAATGTTCGGAATTGACCCCTCTGGTTGAGATAAGCATTCAACGCGACCATCATCGGGGTAAGTGGGGTCATTTGAAAATATTTATATTTTGTGAAAGTTTGAGGGCATTTGAATTGGTTGGAGTTAATCCCTTCGGTTGAGATATACATTCAACACGGTCATCATCGGGGTGTTATTTTGAGTATTTGAAATTAACCCCTCCGGTTAAGATCTACATTCAACACAACCATCATCGGGGTGGATGGGGTCATTTGCATTTGTAAATTAAACCTTATCGACTCTGTTTACTTTCCGACAAAAGATCGGATTTCGTAGGCTTTATGTTTTTGTTAATGAATTGTCTTTGTTGAAGGCCTTATATGAACATATAAAATAGATATTCTGGTCGACACATTGACCGTATATTTGTTTGATAATTTGAGCAGCGTCGACTTCTATCTATCCATATAGAAGGATTGGGTTCAAACTACGTTCATTTATTGACCCGCGCAGCATCCCTAGACGTCATGTGTGTATCTATAATACGCTCAACTGGGCCCATGCTGGTGGGGACATTTTATAATAATTATTTTCTAAACCTTGTCAACTCCTATTTATCTGCTTAGGAGGATCATATTAAAATTTATTGGCCCACATAGCATCCCTAAACGTTGTGTGTTCCAATAACACGCTCGTCGGGACCCATACGAGTTTATGGGGGCATTTTATAATTATTTGTTGAACATTGTCAACTCAGATTTATTTTGTTAGGAGGATCGAATTCAAATTTATTGGCCCGCACAACATCCTTAAACGTCACGTGTGTTCCAATAACACGCTCGTCCGGGCCCATGCGGGTTTTATGATTGCACTTGCCCTTCTTTGTACCTATGTGCATACATGTTATGGTGCATGTGCTAGGGCATTTTGGATATTTAACGGGTCTTCTACGATGACTTGTAGAAGTTTGCATTTATTGTAGTATTTCAATACTTGTACGTAGAAGGCATGTTGGATGCACGACCACTGTTTATCAAGAAACTTGCAAGCCTCAATAATCTTATCCAACTCAATGTTCAGAACCTAGTTGAATTGAGATTCACTCACTCCATAATGATTTGATCTAACTTTCTCTTGCCAGAACTCGTATAGGAATCAATAGGCAACTCCCTAATTATGCCATCGTCATCATTTTCTATTGTTGACTTAAATAAAGAATAAATCATTTCAAACTTAGATGACTGTGTTCTTACGTACGCCCTATTTGTCAAAATCAGGGGCCACCCCCCTGAGCTGATAACTACAACGGTTGGAAATACATCAGACCGTCTATGAAAGCTATGTGAGGCATTTGTTCCTAAAATAATTGTTGTTGTTCTCTTGCATTTTGCTTGTGGAGAGCATAACGGGTCTCCTGTAATGGCCTGTAGGAACTATATTTGATGCATATTATCTTTTCTTCTTGCGGCATATCAACGTATTTTGCTGGTTATTGTAATTGATTGTAGGGGCATTGTTACATCCATAACCTGTTGACCGTCACTTATATGTACATACTAAACATACTACCATGCATATGATATACCTTACATTGTCGTCAGTAAATGTTAACATTAATCATGTTTTGTACCATATACATATGTAAGAGATTTTGCCGCTTGCAGGCAAGTTGATATATTCATTTGTGTGCTGATGTAGATTGTAAGATAAGTTGCATCTGTTGTATTTTCCCGATAGTCACTACAAACTTTCCCTTCTATTTGTAGGCTAGATGTTGTATGTGAGGTCAATCTCCAGGTCAATCTCCTACAACGATTCGTAGGACTTCACATGTGTCATAGGTGTGTTGTCTTTTGCTTACATGTTGTGTGTTCATTGACTTGTAAGTTGAGGTCAACCATATGGACACCATTGCATTCATTGCATATCTCAGTTATCACTCACAAGCAACCTGTTATATACACCATATGCCTTTTATTATGCCGTTGTATGACTTGTAAGTGAAATTGTTATCGCTTTATGCAACTTGCATTGATTGTGAAAGGATCACACTACAACTTGCACTTGTTTGTGAATTGCTTGGAATTGTCCAAATGATGTGAGTTCATTGATCTTCGTTGTCGTTTAAAGTCGTCCACGAACATTCACAAGTTTCCTATAGTCGCTTGTAAGTGGAATGTTGTATGTGTAGTAGATCTTTTGTTGTCACTAAAAGAGACCATACTCCATAGTGTATAGGTAAAGCTCTTATTGATTCCTCTTTGCAAGCAAGTTGTGTTATCCATTAAGAGCATCATATCATGTCATAAGATTTGATTATGTTGTTTACAATTTCATTACCACTTGTAAGTAGTGTTTGCAAATCTCTTGTCCACCACAAACCTCATTTTTATTCATTTGCACTTAAGTTAGAGCTTGTCACTTTGCAAATCATAGCTTCATTATAATTTGTTTGAGTTTGAGTTGCATACTGTTCATTTTCAAGTTTTCTATATTTATTCAAATTAAGTTCTCATTTCAATTAGATGCAAATTTCAATTAGTCACTTGAGTTCTAAAGCATGTCCCTATTAATTTTTGCAAGTTCAAGTCTCAATTCCTTACATCTTAAGTCCAGATTTAGTCAGCCTACCGACACCGACGTCTCCCCTGTTTACGAGAAAAACGAAGAGGCGGCCTTCCCCTCCACGCTACATGAGTGCTTCAGGTAGATGTCGGGTGACAATACGGCTATGTTTTCTTCAATCCCCGCGACACTAAATGAGCGTTTAAGGTCTCGAGCACTTGTTAAAAAGAGCACAGTGATTTTCCCATGTATGGATACTTATTTTTCATCCCCCTCATGCTACATGAGCGCTCCGGGGATTACCCACCTCGTCGTAAGCGTCGCACTGGTTTCCCTCTTCCTATGCTACGTGAGCGCATAGGGAGGCTTACCGGCTCGCCGCAAGCGTCGAGAGTGAAATTTTTAAGTTAGAAATTTTATACCTATGTGGAAGGACGTCAATGGAGTTGACACATGGATAGAGGCAAGGGGAAGATGTTTGCATCTTTTTTTTACTATTAATTATATCTGATCATAATTTAAAAAAAATTAATTATACTTAAATAATTAATCATAATTAATTAGTTAATTATAATTAACTATAATTAATGATAATTAATTATAATTAACGATAATTTATTATAATCAACTATAATTAATTATTAATTATAATTAATGATATTTAAGTATAAATTATTATAATTAACTATAACTAATAATTAATTATAATTAAAGAAATCAATTATAATCAATAAATAAAAATAATAATAATAAAGCAAATCAATCCTCCATTTCCTCCTATTTGTCGTTCATAGGAATTGGCAACAAAAGCGCGTCGAATGGAGAAATTACCTTCATAGCAAGCGGGCTCCCGTCGTTATTTCCTATCAAAATGTCGTAACTTCCGGTCTAACAAGAAAGGGACACCATTGGAGGAGGCGAGAAAAGAAAGGGAAGAAGGGAGGTCAGGCAATGTAGCAGTTGAGAGGGATTTCAGCTAGGGCAAGAGATGAGGTTGGAGATTTCTGTTGGAGGTTTGGTGTGACCTGGATGTTTGGAGGAGGACGGGCCGGGTTCGGTGGAGGCTCTGTGGATTCGATCAGCACAGGTATGGGTTTGATTTGGCTAAGGCTTGCGGCTGCTTGATGAAGCTTGCGACAGAGGTGATGGGAGGAGGAAAAGGGAGCAGTGATTGAGTCTAGTCGGATGTGGGAGTTCCGATCGATGGAGACGTGGAAAAAAGAAAAGCAAGGCTTCATTCGCTTGTTATATAACAACATATGCGAACACTCGATCGAGGCAAGATACAGGTTTTGCGAAAGTTTTGACGCGAGCGGTGCCGAATGCACAGCGATTCGCCGGGATTTCTTGCGGGATTTGCGGATGACTCGATAAATTTGAGCAGGTATTTTCATTTCTCCCTTTTTTTGTTAATCTCCCTTTTTTGTTAATTTTATTCCGAGGTCAACACAAATGCTATGAGAAAATTCGGAAAAAAAATTCCATAATTTCTAGAAGTATAACGACCTGAAGAACAACAAAAATACATACAAAAATGAACGTTATTGTGTGGGCTATTAATATTTCACAGTTTCAGTACTGTGCCAAAATAACCATGTGTGCTTGCAAATGAATATGCCCTGGAGTTTTCTTTACTTGTAAGCTAGTTCCTTTGTTGGTTCACTCCAGCCTTCAAGATGCTGATCAAGTAAAGCACGGGTCCTATCAGAAATCTGGAAAACATGAGGGGATCCAAGTATCAGCTCCAGCATAATAACTCCCACACTCCACATATCATATCTGCCATAGAAAGGGCCTCATAATTACTCACGTGAGGAAACAGAAGTTTCATAATTGCAATACAAAAACAAGAATCATACGCTCCATTAATGTCATTTTATCATACAACTTTCCAGTTATGTTCATACAGCAGAATGCACTAATTTGGAAAGTGAACAATGCTGCCATTAAGAAAGTAAAACATAATTGGATGCAGAAACTCAGAGCAAAGATCAAGGACAAACTTCAATCTAACGCTGCTTGGTCCCTGAAACCAGCTAGCATTAAGAAGTGCTTCTGGAGGAGTGTACTCAAAAGTCTGCTCTGACCTGACATCACAAACAAATATCAGAGAATCCACATAAAAGGGGAACAAGGGACCATAAGAACCAGAATCACTAAATAAGCTATGAAGAGCAATATGAGCCTTTTTCGTTGTTATGTCATGAGAGTTTGGCATTTTTCAAGGCATGCAAATAGAAGAAAAATTTCAGGCTGGACTTTACCACTGGAAATCTGAAAGCTTGGAGATTAATCTTTCCCTCCAGGACTGGCAACTTCAGAAGAACCATCTAATGTAAATGTATAAGATGTCCATAGTTATAGAAGGCTTGAGAACAATATGAACATGTATTTTGATGTACAAGTAAGTTTCTCATTTATCGTGTCCTTTAAAAGCTCCATACGCGAAGTACCTTTCCGTGGAGAGACAAAAGCAGAAAGGGTTTGCCAAAAGCCTTACACTAGTGCATATTTTGAAAAGATACAATAAAAAAATATTGTTTATAGGTTAAGCTAACTAAAAATTGAGAATGAAGATGGTGTGAAGAATTCCAGGACTAACGATGCAGGACAAATTTTTGTGAAGATTATCTAAAAGACTTGTCCTTTTAATTTTGACTATATTTAAATATTTTATATTCATATGTAATAAAGACACATGATTCATTTCTTTGATACTTGATAAATTATCAGGGAAGCTTTATAAGGCAAGTCTATATAATAGGTTGCAGCTTCGTATTGAGAAAGCAAATTATTGAGTTTTACTGAATGAAATAGTCTATTTAAGCGGTGTCATAAAACATGTCCAAAATTACAAGTCTAAGAAATTAACTCGCCTCCAACAACAACTCACCTCCTACAACAACATGATCGTCCCTAATGCATTTTCTGCACCGTTTGTCTACCATCATTGGACTTAAACTTCTCGTGTTCATCATTGATATTGCCCAACTCCCATTGTCATAGCATGCCTCGCCCTCGTAGATAATGCTAGCAAATCACAACATGTGTGAGAATTGTCAAGACCCCAATTCTTAATTGCTACTCCTATAACAAACAATCACACCACATGTGATATTATTCACAGTTTCAACATGCATCTCGCAGGTCCCGACCAATGCATAAACCGTCATCTACTACCAGTGTCTACAATGCCTCCACACACTAAACAAATGCACATCGCAAACCACATTTTGTGCTCACACCTTGCTCCTCCACATCACCACCTACTCGCATCTACATGCCTTACAGGCTCCCTCACTTCACTGTGTCACAAACCCTGCCTCCTAATAAATCAACTTCATTTATAGTTGTTAGCATACTACTATTCAAAAGCTTAAATAAACATTATTGCAACTAGGATTGTAATTGAGTTATTCAATAAAAGCTTGGCAGACAAATGGCTCATATGTTGAGCTAGACACCAACAAGCCAAATTCGAGTTAGCATGGGCTCAACTCATTGGCTCATTCGAAAATTTTATAAAGAATATATTTAAAATATTAAAATTCATGAGTTCAATTTAAATAAAAAATCTTTAAAAACAATAGTTCCCATCCCTCTCCTAATTTCTCATTCTATCTCTTTAATAATTTATTGTTCTTTCTCATGTAATTTCTCTTTTTTTTTTCATGGTGCCATTGCTACAACTACTTGGATTTGTATTCATCTTCTCTCTTTCATTCATATTCTCTCTTTTAAAAGAAGATGAGCACTCGGCTCATGGACCAGCTAAAATATTCAACTAAGTTCAAGATTGATCAATTAGTTAAGCTTAAACCAAGGGTTAAGCAAGTTCAATTGGCTTATTTACACTCCTAATTGCAATTACTCATGCGTACATGGGACAAGAGTTTTAAAAAAAAAAAAACTAGATAAACTAGCCAAATAAAAGTAACTACAAGCACAGAGAAGGCTCTCAACTACACCACTCTTTTTAGAAATTAATAGCACCTTGTTGGTCCAGATCCATAAAGATGCTTCAAAGTAAAGTCGTCCATTGCACTTCCGAAGTCAATTATGCGCCTAATGAAAGCAAGGTACATAACAACAATCAGCAATGGGCCATCACACTAAATATATTAAATTAAAAAGCAATTGCAAATATTAATTTAAAAAAAAAAATAATGCCACATATTAAAAATAGTTTTAATGGCATTGGCTCATAAAAAATAAAAAATAAAAAATAAAAAAGTAAAAACGTCTTCATGAATTTAAGAGACACGGGATGAATATGGTTCTCTGGAACTGGTAATTGATATCTACTTGTCATGGAACCTTCATTTATATCGTGGTATTTGACTCAACAAATCATGCTGAACTCTAAGTTCAATAAGTTCTGATGAATTTATTCAAATTACAGTAACTTGTAATCATTCAAATTTTCCAAATAGGTCAAAGCCTTGCTGGCATTCTCGTTAGTAAAATAGGTTATGCAACAAAACCATCCCTTCTATAAAAGATTAAATCCCTCTCACAAACAAAATTAATAAAGAAAATCATTTATACATTTTACACTTAAAAAAATATTAATTAAATGAGGATTCACAAAACTTTGAATTTCACTAACTGAATCTATGGTAGCTTTGAGATGAATAGAGAAAGAGATTTGTGATGCCAACTAATTGGGTTAAGGCTAATGGTGATGAAGTAATATATATAGTAGATTGATAATGCTGCACTTTGATTTTTTTCTTCCTATGACGGGATTAAATGGCTAGAGGGTTCTACTAACTTGGGATGGTCTCAAAAATAACATTTTTAATATCGAATCAAAATAATACCTACTCCATCAATGAAATATCCCACGTACAAAGAAATTGCATGCCAATAAAATTTACAGGGAAACTCTCATAGGGCCAAGCTACTTAGTAAGTCATATCCTTTAAAAACTATAATGGGACTGGTTAAATGGGAATGGTTATAAAGGGTTGACCCAAACATGCACTTCAGGCAGCTCATAAGCCTATTTATAAATAAAAATTAGTTCATAATTTGATAGCCATCTCCAAAAACTCCGAATGGCCATCTCCAACCAACAATGTATTTTAGAGCACTAGGTGGCCAGGTGAGGACATCGCCAATGTATGCTTAGCTCATATTAAATCAAAGCTTTTTATCTATAAGGCATTGTGGGCTCCAAAAATTCGCACTAAAGACCCTCCGCGCCTCTTTAATTTAAAAAGGAGAGTTTTGACGAGTTTAAGCTCCAAGGTAAATTTTCAGAAGACAAATTAGATTTTAGATAAGATACTACCAAGAAATTTCGCCCTCATTTTGTGAGGACTTTATGAGTTGAGTTTTGGTTTCTCATAGGCGCAAGCCCCACTGATTAATTACCCCTCCCAATAAAAAGAGAGGACTTTCAACTAAGGTTAATCGTTAAATATGTCACAATAATAACCTAGCGTATAACAACAATGATTTTAAAGTTTGAATTTGATTTTGAATTTTAGAGTTTATGACTTGAAATCTATCACCATATACTTAAAGTGGGTGATGGGGAAATAATGATGGGCCCCGTCAAGATCCCATGGTTCTATCATCCCGGGCTGCCATGGTTCTTAGTCTACTTAGTCATAGTAGGTAGTCGACCCAACCTGACAATAAGATCTTTATTAACGGCCATGTGTTGCGTCATCCAAGGGTACCTTATTAACCTACAATAGATGTTTGTCTAAAAGAGTGAATTTAAGTCAATCTTAACTGACAAAGAGTTTATATCTTATCAAGTTCACCCTATAATTCATCACTCAATGGATTTTTAACCATTAGGGAACATATGAGCTTAGGCCGTGACCATAATATAGTTGTCATTTAGCAGCAAAACCATCCAGTCAGAGAGCACGTGTCACATCCCTATTAGTGAGAAATCAATTGAGAATGAATTGTGGTAATACATTCAACAAGACATCTGCTCTTCGTGAGCTGAAGTTATTCTTAAATTCATCATCCTCGCCAATCAGTTGCAGAGCATGGATGAATTTTGGTATTAAGTTTTTCGATGATCAAATTCATTTTAAGCATTTAAACTCCTAGTAGGAGTTGATTTTAGGTTTTGAATGAATGACTTTAGAATTTTAAGGGCATTTTAAAAATTAAATAGCTCTCCCCATTAAATTTCATGTCAACACAATTATCATAGGGGTGTTTAAACACGTTTAGCGAATCCGCGAAGTATTCTCATAGCTCATATTTAAAAGTTTAGCGTAAATATAAGAGCACATGCAAAAGTAGTTCCAAGTGTGATTAGGCATCCCTTGTTTTCATCAAATTTAGCAATTTAGATTTGATCTTCCAAATATGAATGGAAAAACAGAAGGCACATCCATTTAAAGTTATTAAAATTATTTGGTACTCTTTTATGAGATGAATCGATAAGGCACCCCTATTAATTATTTAAATTCTTCCTTGTTTGTGAAATCTTCTTAATGTCAATTACAAGTTTCATTCTACATAGCTCCAAGTGGTGTGTCCATAAGACCTAGATTACTTGATGTAATAAATCAAATCAATAAGTCATCCAATGGTACCAATTCACTATTTCATTGGTCTCATACTCTAATATTTTGGCATAACCCTTTCTACTATTCCAAAGCAAGCATCATCAATTATCCAAGGTCTTCCCATCAAAGAAACAATGATGTATTCTCTCAAAAAAAAAAAAAAAGCCATCAACCTGTCAGTTTGGTGTCTCTCTTCTAGTAGGATGAACCCTCTAGTACAAAACTCATGCGATATAGAAGGGAGATAATATCTAAGCATGGTATTCCAAGGTGCTCTTGTACAAAATTCTTAAGTGTGAAAGGTGATAGGCCTTTCTCCAAGTTGTCAATTTTACAGAAGTAGGTTATTTTCTTTTTAAAATTTTGACATTTTTCAAGTGACTGACCGTCCAAATCAAAATCATGTTCCAAGTTATCAATCATGCTTTCACTAGAAGATCGTCCTCTAGTAATATGGTTTGAAATCTCTTCAGCACTATATGCAACAAGGAGTGATAAAAATCTAGCTAAGGTTTCTTCGATTGTATAAGGTTTTAGAGCTAGGGATTTGACTGGTGCTTGTGGAATTTGTTATTGGAGAGAAACCAAGTCTAGTTTCTAATTTAGAGTTCTGTGTTATGTTCAAAATACATGAGCCAAGTTTAAACTCAATTGGTTCATCCTCAACCTTTAGTTTCCCTTTCACAATATCCAAAAAAAATTTCAATGTCAGGTTAACAACTAGCTCTAGAGATTTTATGAGGTACACATGTTCAATACCAAGAATAGTTTATTTTGCATTTATTTTTTCTTTTTATTTTTTATATATTTTTTAAATTAATTGAAACGACACATAATTTTTTTTGAATCATTTAAAATGACAAATTTGTTTGAAATTAATTATGGAGGGAATCTTTTGTCGTTAATTATTCTTGCATGTAGCTCCTTAGATGATTCTTGCATGCGGCTAGAGAAGTTAAGATGGAGCGGTCCTTCGGGTCGTTCTTACGTGCGGCAAATAGAGAACGAGAGGGAGAGAGTTCGGCTTTGTCTACTGCCATATGAGGGAGTTACGTGAGTGGGGGAGGTTACGAGATCGCAGGTAGTGGATTGGTGGTTAGTGGTCGACAGGGATTAAAAATATCATATGGTAAATGGGCCTAAAAAAGAATTGATAGGAAAATATTCAAAGCATTTTAAAAATCAGGTTTAGGACTAGCACAATGTAATGCCATTTGCAAGGCTCAATTAAATTGGTTTTAAATGGACTTGGGTATCCCATTTGATAGCCCTACTGTCTCCAATTGAAGATATTTCAAAGGTCTAAATAGATGATAACCAAAAGCTAAATATTATCCTCCACAAAAGCAGTGTAATTATTTTAGATGAAAATTCGATCCTCTTGTAAGATTATTTTACAATAAAATTATTGAGTAAATGATCAAAAAGATCCATACGCTTATTAGATTTGTCCATTATAATCCCAATTTTTTTAAGAAGATCAATTTAATTTCTCAACTCATTAAGTGTGAATCAATTTTATGTGGGGTCAGCTACATGAATCTTTTTTCTCCATTGTGTTTTGTTAAGAGTCAAATTCTCATCTAAATCTAATAAAAAAATATCATTTCTAATATTTTCTAACCAGGACTTTTGAGCTCTACCTCTACCTTTCTTAATATAAGTCAAATCTAATACATCTACTTTCCTAACCAGGTCATCGGAAGGCCGCCATTTTATGTGACCAAACCATCTAGGTAACTCTCTCTAATCTTATCTTCCACTAGAGCTACTCCAACGTTTTCACGTATTTGCTCATTTCGTATCCTGTCTTTAAGAGTAAAGCCACTCATCCACCTGAGCATCCTCATCTCCGCAACAATTAACTTAATATTATGCTTCTCTTTAAATGGCCAACATTCTGCACCATAAAGCATTATAGGTCTCACTACCATCTTATAGAATTTTCCCTTAAGTTTGAGAGGAACTTTTCTATCACATAACAAGCTCGATGCATTTTTCCACTTCAACCATCCAAATTGAATTCCACTAATAATATCCCCATCTATTTCACCATCATTCTGAACAATAGACCTAAGATATGTATAACGTGTGCTCTTATCAATTACTTGATCGCCCAAAATCAAAAATCCCCCACTAGATCTATTATTACTAAAATTACAATCCATATATTTAGTTTTAGATCTACTCAAACGAAAGCCTTTAGACTCTAAGGTTGACCACCGTAATTCAAGTTTACCTTCAACTCCCTCTCTAGTCTTATCAACAAGAAGAATATAAACAGCAAAAAGCATACACTAGGGTACAAGCTCTTGCAAATGTCTAGTGAAAACATCCACGACTAAAGCAAAAAGATATGAGCTTAAGGCTGATCCATGATGTAATCCAATTGAAATAGGAAAATACTTGGTCAAACCACCTTGTGTTTAAACACAAGTAACAGCTCATGCATTCATATCCTTAATGGCTTGAATATAAGAATTATTAACCCCTTTCTTATGTAGAACTCTCCATAGCACTTCTCTTGAAACTTTATCATATGCTTTTTCTAAATCAATAAAAATCATATGTAAATCTTTCTTATTCTATCTATACTTCTCCATCAAACCTCTCAATAAATGAATAGCTTCCATAGTAGACCTACCTGGCATGAATCCAAATTGATTTTGAGAAACATTAGTGTCACGCCGCAACCTACATTCCATAACTCTCTCTCATAGTTTTAAAGTATGACACATTAACTTAATTCCTCTACAATTTGCACAATTTTGTGTGTCACCTTTATTCCATAGTAAGACTCAAATGGACATACCTAAAAAATATATGGTCCATTTTAATTATTTACTGAATATTTTTTTTCTATTTTAAATGGGGATAAAAGGATCACAATATTAATACTTAGCATAATTAAGAAGGGGAAAAAACATCCACATAAGAGCACATACATTTTGAGATGAAATTGAGTACTCCCAATAGGTGGAACCTCTCTCAAGCAATTTCCTTTATTCGCTTCTTCAAAACAAATTACCATGTTCTCTTGAGCAAAACAAAAACAAGGGAATCAGTAGTGCAATTGAACTGAAGAAGCAGATGTATCAGAAATCAGCAATTTGAAAATATGAAACTATTCAATGAGATGTTTAGACTTGCATTTGATCATGAAGAACACTAAGCTAATAAAGATCTTCATGTAAAAATTATGGATAAAAATAAGGACAAGACATCGAGATAGAGAGAAGCAAGAGGGGAGAGAGATGTGATGCTAAATGTGAACAAACTGTAAATAGAGCAAAAAAAAAAAACAGTTATCCTATACAAGCATTGCCATAATTTTATTAGTGATATAGACAGAGAGGAGAGAGAGAGAGAGATGTGACTGAAAGAATTCTGGTATTAACAACCAAAACATAAATGATCCATATTACAGTATGAATAATTTTAGACTTCATTTACATTCTAGTGATAGTATTAAAAAATGCGCAAAAAAATTGGGATGTTGGCACTTTCAACATGCATATTTATGTTGTTTCAAACTCTATTGTTGCTCTTCATCTTCATCATTACATCGCCTGCCAAATTGATGGCATTGCATAAGAGATAATTCAAAATATAATTTAATGGGCTGCTAAACCCCCTTTTTTTCTAAACAAAGATTTACTTATTGACTTTAAATTTTAACAATGCCTGAATTTAGCAGTACAACCACGAAATTCATAGGCAATCCCAAAGATGCGTAGACATGTAACCAGTAACTTAAGAACATCACCAGATGTTATCCATATTTGCATCCAATTTTCCATAACTAAAGTAGAAATATCTACAATAAGTGAATTATCATTTAATTAAACGTATCTAACACCTTATCATTTGGCTGTTACCATGCTGAAGGTGCCTCACTAATAGTAAGGGTATATATATGTATTGAAGTTAATAAAAGAAACGAAGTTATTTTGGGCAAAAAACGTAAAGTACTCAAGTCATCAGCATAACCCACAACATAACAGTAATCAATTTGCTAAAAAAAAGGGACTAATAAAAGGAGGCAGAAACCAACACAAGCTAAAGGTCTGTTAGCCTCCCCCATAACTGAGAGAAAATGGCACATCACACTCCTGGAAGTAGAGATGAGGAAGGCCACATCTTCAAAAGCGGTTTGGTTGTCCAGCAAGGTTGAATGTACAAACACAAGCAACTATATACTTACGTACACAATATAATTATAGAAATAAATAGGGCTTGTGATATAATATATTTTGTATATAATAATAACATATGAATATATTCTATTCTGAAATAAAACACACAACATACATAATGCTAATAAACAAACAAAAGGCGCCGCTCCAAATGGTAAATATTGTCAGGTACATACATCAAAACTCCACGGTAAAAATACAGACGTGGCAAATTGCATTATTTATATATTATATTGTTGAGTATCTGATCATTCGGTACATCAATTTTAAAAAAAAAAATACTAATGCTAATAATAAATTTCATCATAGTTATCTGAGCACTATAAGTTATATTACTTCCAATGATCATTTTTGAATCAATAGAATATTGCATGTTATTGAAAAATAAGAAAAAGAAACGTAAATCATTTTATACCATTTATATTTTTATATTGAGATTTATTTCAATATAACAAAGTAATTTGAATGTTATTTTAGAGGAATAAAATGTGAAGTTTCATCGAAGTTTCATAAATTCATGGAATAGATAAATAATTGATTATTACTTTCATGGAATAGATAAATAATTGATTATTACTTTCTTGTCATCATTTTTGTTATATTATTATCAGGAACCAATGCATGTATGACCAAGGAAAATAGGAGTTTTAAGGTTGAAATTGTTAAATGTGGTTGGTAGTTTTACAACATAGTGAATATTAATAGTTAAGCATTAATCAAGAGAAAGTTCTCTAAATTCTGGCATGTAATGAAGTCAATCGCATCTCCACTTAAACAGGTGATCCTTTTTTTTGTTTTACTTCCTACATGCTTCCACGCCCTATAAACGTATTATTAGCGCTCCCAGTTAATGTTGAGATTGTTTGTTCGTGGCTAGGATTATGTATTTACTGAGAGAAAAATTATCTTCATGATGCAAGTTCTCCAAAGGGCTTTTTGAATCAATAGAAACCAAAATGAGAAAAGAAAAGTCAAATGAAAGATGCACAATGAAAAGACACCAAAATAAGAAATCCTCAAGATATCAAGTTATGGAATCATCAAGGAAAGAGAACTATGAAAATCAAAACATGAACTATAGGAATTCTTCATTGAATTCATCAAAACTTCAAAATTCAAATCAATCGTGAAATCCATACAAAGAGGTCCTACATAAAAATTAAAAAAAAAAAACTAAAACTCAAATTAAGAATAAAACAATCTTGTGGCCCCAAGGGTTTTTTATCTTGTTAGTGTCTTTTGTTATGAGTTCTATTTATCTAGCAATGCTTTGCTATTGCTTCATGTTGTGCTTTTTCATTACATGATAATAAATCTTGTTATTCTTCAAAAAATATTAAATTCTAAATAATTTAATGAAAATAGGAGTAAATAGAACATGAAAGCAAATTTGTTTAAAATGTTTGGTTCGACTTCTCAAGGTTGGCATATAAGAAATGGAGGCTGTCAGAAATTAACTAAATGGTAACCAAAACGATGACACTACATCACTTTATTTAGCTAATGTAATGAAGAAAAACCTTCACACCACTTGCCTCCATAACTTTAAATCAAATGTCCTTAAAATAGATTACGATTTTATTAGGATTTTTCCCTCACCATTGCTTCCACAAACTGTGAGTGTGTGATATCACTATTATCAATTAGTTGGGGTAATTTAAAAAATTTTGGGTATATATATATATATATATATATATGTATATATATATATAAGACGAAGAATTGAGATATGACATTTTGAGTGGCCTCCCCTTGGAAATTCTCCCTTTTTTGCAACTTTATATCTACCTGCAACTTCATCTCTACCGCTTACCTCTATCCTCTTGAGATGCATCTAAGCTCTTTATCACTTTCTTCTCTTTACCTCACATATTCTCCTTATATATTGAATTTTTCTAATTTTCATTGTCTCGTTCACTAAAATTTTGGTATTAGAATCTTATCAGTTCCATGACTTTTCCACAATTAGTCAACCATTTCTGCCTCACATTGCTATAACAACACATTATCAGGACTTGAATGCATCACATGCCCTATCTATCCTGCTTGCACTAGCTCATATACACTCATGCATACCTTTAACTGCGCATCAATCGCCTTTCATCTTTCTTGCATGATCATCATCACATGCCTCATTTCATGCATTTTTAAAACATTTACCTTTTCTTTTCCATGTTGCACTTGACCCTTTGCCCCATCTATAGTTCCACTAGCTAGTACATCACACTCATTGTCACAAAAATTACTCAGATTGCATTAAGCTCTCAATCGTGAGTCATGTGCTTGTTGAATCGCCTTGCATTGCTCGCCCTCATGTTGTTGTTCCCCGCCATATGCCATTAGCTCGATTACCAACCCTCCATATTCGAATGTGTCAACTTTTGCACCCTCAATACACAAACAAACCCTATCATAACCCACAATTTCCACCCATATAGCCCGCACCAATCACGCCCTCTCACATTCTATGGTTCTCCATCTACAAATTTTACCTGCATGTTTTCATCTTAGAACACGAATGCATGCCAATGGCTTATCAACCAACTTGAGCTACTACAAATATTATATGTATAAAAAAAAAAAAAAAAAAAAACAACTTCTGTCAATTAATCATTAGTCAAGTCAGGTCTGAGTCAAGTTAACTGAATACATGAAGGCCTTCCAGCTTTCAAAGATGTCTTTTGAGAGCTGGTCATATTCTTGAGAATGGATAAAGAGAATATTCAAGTAATACTATAGATAAAATGACACCCTTCCCCTTCGTCTCTCTTCTTTGGAATGGATTTCCCATCATTATCTTATCCTTAGGATAGAGTTTCTAATTATCTCTCCTCTGCAAGATAGATTTAGCTAGCAATAGTAAGGATCTCTAGTTCCCCTCAAGTAACATGTTGACTCTACAAAATAAGGTTCTTTTTATCCCTAGATAATTGTGGTAAGTCTTTGGTCATGAGCTTACTTTGAATCATCTTTAATTGTATTTTAAATTAACTATTTGCATAATTACTAGGGTTAGTTATGTTGATTTAGCTTTAAAATTATTTCCCATATATAATAAGGGCATTTTATAGTCTTCCATATTAATTTTAATTTGCTAGGAAAGCATTATAAATCTTGAGACTACATAAGCGGATCTAACATTGTATTAAGGATTATTGGATGATGAATTAACACTGAAAAATTGTTGTGCCCACTCCCCCCATCACCCAACTACGGGATTACTCATTCTAGACTTTCTACTTTATGCTTATACCACATGTCTCCCTTCTCTTGAGGCATGCATCTTTACCCCTTACTTCTCTCGACCTCACCAACTCTTCTCTCATAAATTCTTCCAGCATTCTTCGCATCATTTGTTTCCAAAATGTCTAACCAAATTAATAGCAATATAATTTGTTATCAATTCATTTTTTGTGAAAAAAAAAAAAAAGATGAATAGAATTCAAAGGGACATCGATTGGATTAGGAGTAAAACGAAAGACTTCATTGCATGAGGACAACTTCTTTAGAAGGAAATGAATGAATAGTTGTCACAATTAATGGGAACATCCTATTTATTTGGAATATAAATTTGTATCTTATTTTCTTTGGCAAGTTATAATATAAATTAAATGCGTAAGAATACCAAGTATCCTCTAAATTGAATTGTTGTTCTAGATTAAAAATATCTATAAAAAATTTATTTCTCTCAAAACTTACATGGTTTCAGAGCCAAGGGTTGGGCTTAAGAACCTAAAAAGTTGTAGGCATAAAACGAGTGCAGGATTAGAAGATAGCAACCTTTCTGACGAAATCTAATAGCATGGGTGATATTATTAGGATCTCTTATGACATAATAGCAATTCCCCTCTTTTTTGTTAGAATAATAAAAAAATAAATTGCCTAAAATGATCAGCAATGATCAAACCCTCTCCAATTCCACCCTCCAAATAACCATTCACAACTTGATTGATAAAAATTATATTGAGTAATATAAAAAAGCCAAAATTAGCCAACGATGGAAGGGAAAACTCATGCTAAGCCATCAATGAATGATCCAACATTCACAATATGGAAATCACATAAATCCTTAGTAATGGCTTGGCTCCTATATTTTATGGTGAAATTCAACATTCATTAGACAATAAGCAACTCACCTTCATTTGCATGCAACAAGTGCTTTCCATCTGGGTCTAGCATTGTTTCTTCGTCAAACCCTTTTCATGAGGCGCTTTTCAACAAGCAAAATGACTAAATATTGGGGAAATTTAAAGCGATGAGAGCCAGACCCCAAAGACTTGGATCATTCAATAAATTAAGATTTATGGTGGAAGTACTTGCCTTGTTACTATTTCCAGCAAGTGATCAATCAAATAGAACATTTGGAGTCGGTAAATTTGTCGCTTCACAAGATTCATTGCCAACATTGTGTGATTCTAGTATAAATCTAGGTAAGAAATTCTTGCAAGTTTGTTCCATCTTAGCACCTTTATTGCTAGCTTGGTGACATTAGAAAGAGACCACTATTAATGAAGTTGTGCCACACTGGGAATTATAGGCCATAAGTCACTCAAAAATCTTGTAATGGTATTCTCATTTGATTTCACACTTCACAATTCCTCATAAGATGTTTAAATTTAGCAATGTACTCGGATGACAACCCTTGTTGTAGTTTAAAGAAGGGTATCTTGATAAAAATGAAGGGAAATTCCTTCATAACAATTCTTTCAATCTTTTTCTCTAATTCTTAGTTTCTTTTAATGTCCTCTTACTAAATGAAGATATTCTTCTTCAACTTGATGGTCACCAACTTGACCATTGGATCGGTCGACATTCCTATGTAGTGAAAGAAACACTCCATGGTGCAACAAATCTATGAAATCATCCTGATTCAAGCAGCCTTCATCATCTAAAATATCCAGCTTGATTGTATTGGAGTACAATCCCAAGAACATGGAATCCCCCCTTTGACATATAACATTTAAAATATTATCCCAAAAGTTATGAAAACTGCAGAAGGGGTTGACTTTAAATAAAAACCAAGTCCCCTCAAAACAAAACAACAATGCAACATTACAAAACTAACCTACAAAAGGTGTATATTGGACCAAATAAATTTTAAATTTGCAATAGCAAACATCTCACTTCAAGCCGAAAGAAAAATATTATTAATAACATGAATACTTGAAGAAAATTTAAATGTACCTCAATAAATCCTTCAGTAAAAATACTCACATATTCGTTATCACATTTGCTAATAGGCAATCCAACACTTTAATGCAGCCTTTTACAAAGAAAAAAAGGCAGAAAACCGACTCATATCACACGCTAAAATCAGGTGAAATAAACCATGAAGCCTTAGCTAATGATGGTGCTAAAATTGTGGCATGGGGAAAGAATCAGAATTGTTTGTCAAAAATAGATCACTATTTGTTCATTCTAGAATAAAATGCTTTGAAATATACCTACCTGGTTTTATGTCCCTATGAGTAATATTACGATCATGACAAGATTTGATAGCCATCAGCTGCATAAGAGGGAGAAAAAAACAATCAACACGACCACTAAAATCAATATTAAAATTTGAACGTTAAAATTAGAATGCAAATGTTGGACATGTCAACATGGAAGAGTCACGCAAAACAAAAAGTAAACTAGAAAAATGAAAAAAAAAAATTGCAAAAATACGAAGTTCAAAGAAAACAACTTCATGCAGTGACTGCCAATTCAAATAATAGAGCATAGAGCCATTTATTTGATTGTAACAATTCCAAGCTCTTCCCTAGCGTATGTTCAGTCTGATAAGGTTAATTTTTTGTCATTTTAGTAAAATGCTGCCATATTCCACCATTCACTCACGAAATTGCTTTAATTTGACAATGGTTTGAAGCAGAAAAATCAAGCATATGATCTCCTTCCAGGTCTTGTTTCAGTTTAATATTTATTAGAAGCATTGACATCTTACTTTCCACATCTTTCAACTATTAGTCTACTGGGGTAACTTATGCCAGACATTTGAGTTCACGTTTACTTTTATTTTCACTTTCAGATCTAAAGTAATGCCACCCCAATGCTCAGGCCAGATGAATCTCTAGGTCGCCTTCCTAAAAACCTTTTCTGCATTCTAGAAGATTATAACCACTCCTCTCCCCTTTCCTTTCGACATTAACTATTCATCAGTTTTAAAAAAATCAAACCAGCTAGCTTGCATTAATAATAGCATAGAAATGTCACAAGCTCGCTGATTACCACGAATGGCTTTAGGCCTTGCTTGCATCTTTTATCCGTTTAAGTCTGTTTTAATAAATTCGTGGCATAAATTTGATTAAAAAAGGTAGAAGTTTTTTCAGATTCATGTGATAAGAATCCCAACAATTACACTAGCTACTGCTTGATACATAGCTTAATTGGAATTTTGAGCATAATATTAACTTGATTTAAAAATCTCCTAACATACATAATGTAGCGGCCACAACTATAGATGACTGAAGGAATCGGTACTGTTAGATGCCTTGATCCTATGATTATTCGTTATTGGACTATAATTGTACCCTTAAAAGCATGTTTAATTTCAAACATGTAATGCAAATCCGCATAACCTATCTAAAATGGCATCAGAACAATTAATTTATTTATACATAAATGTCAGAAACTTAGAAGGACCCTAGGATCACATTCACAATTCTAAGTGGCATACATTGTTAAATTAATTTTCTCGGAATCATTAGCCCTTTAAAAACAACTTCAATGTTGACATTAAAATCAATAACACTATAGAACGATCAAACAATATAAATGCTTCCATGAAACTTTACCTAATCTGATAACAATGAACATTCAAAAATTAAATTAATTCTAACAGAAATCAAGCCTAGCACATGGATATGCAACAGTTGTCATCAAGCAAATGAACTATGCAATTATAACTACTCCAACTTGGGTTTAATAAACATTTTTTTATGGAAGGGTATCTTCCATAAAATTCTAAACAATTAGTCAATTTGTATTTATTATGACACACGTAGCATTTAACTTGAGGAATTCATAAAAACATGTGATTTCCAGTAGCAGGGAAAATAGAATAGAACTAAAAAAAAAAATCGAAGTAGAAATCATTTAATTCGAACTCCCAGAATGCATGAAATTAAACATAGGTGAATGGAACCAAAGAAGAAAGTAACAACCAAATTCGAGTGACTGAAATTAGAATTTCAAGATAATGTGTGAAAAATTAGGAAGGTACAGTACAAAATGATTATAATACAGAGCGTGAGTCACACCTTAGTAATTATGAGGTAAAAATAAGTAAACTTTAGTGGTTTACATACGTAAAACGTGAAGCAAATACACATACGTAAAACGTGAAGCAAATACGCATAAATAGGTTAAGCGTTAAAATAAAGTGAAAGTTATATGAAGAAAATAACGTGCAAAAACTTAATTCCGTAAAGCTAAATTAACGTGCAGCACTTGAAAGGAAAAAAGAAGTTGTGAAGGATTTATGGGGCCAATTCTCCACCCTGCTATCCACAAATCTTTCATCCACCCCTTCTTGACAAGGTTCCTTGGCCTTTCTTGACAATGGCATAGTAGCTAGTTGCAATCCCCTCTCTAGGGTGCAACTTTGCCACAGCCCATCCACTTTCAAACTCCACAACAATAGATCTCAGACAGCTTAAAGCCTTTCAAGCCCTTAGCATTCGGCCCCAACTCATGGTACCTGTGGATTGCACTTATGCATGGTGGAGGGTATCTGCTTCGAGAGAACCTAACAGGCTAACAGGATATCTGATTACCAGATCCAATAGCAAAATTACTCTTATTTGACGTATGAACAACAACCTGTTAGGTCACAAAATATGATTTGGTATTAGTAATATGGGGCTCCCGAGTAGCTTGATATTTTCCAATATTCTATGAAATTGGATTTATTGTTCAGTTGACTTTTGGTTGAAATTTAATTTTGTGTGCTGTTATTAGTGTTTAGAACATAAATCACACTTGTTAGGACTATGCTGATAAGAATTACACTTAATTTGTGTTCAAATGATTATTTTAAGGTTTTTAAATATTAAATTGCCACTTGCATGACACCTTTTATTTTTATAATATTTTTTCAGAGTAATAAAAGGAAAATTATTACTTCTAAATCTGATTTTATACTGTCATTCAAGGTTGTCAGGTATCAGGAATCCAGCACATGCCAGAAAGTAAATTTTACTAGCTAATTAGATTTGGATGTGAGTTTGTGTAGTAAGATTTTAACTGGATACAAATTTTGTAGGTCTTATTGAGGTGAGTTCGTGTGGTAAGATAATTATTTGGATACAAATATCATAGATCTTATAGGAGCGAGCCCACGCACACACCAACCTTCTCTTGAATCATACTGTTGTTCAACAATTCTAATTGTTCAGTAAAAAATTCAAGTTTCAAGTTTATTAAATTGGTTACTTGAACTTCAAGTTGAAACAAAGCATGACCCAATAACCCAATTTAACACAACTATTTACACGTTCATGGTAAAAGGAGCACCAAGAGTTTTAGATTTCTTTTTTTTTCTTCTGACAAGCAACAGAAGCATCCCCTCCCCACAATATCAAGTAATGCTCAAACAGCTAGGTCAAAATAAACCAAAAATGAATTTCTCCAATCAACTAGATAATCCAACACAGCCGAAAACCCTAAAAAAGTTGAAGTTCGGGCATTAAGCACTCTTCAACCAACCTAAAAGATTATTAAAACAAACTAGTTGTCTGTCTCGTACATAAATCCTGCTTCTAGACTCCTTGCTATTAGATCCAACATTAGGTATTTAGTATCATTTCTACTACAAATATTTTGCACAACTTCTAGTCATGCTTATTGTGGCCAACCAAATTTGTTGTAACATTAATACTATCTAATCACTTTATTGGTGCTTTTTTTGCCTCTTTTGTACCTATCAGAATCATCAAGTCTAATGTTCCCTAAATTATTTTAAGTTCTAATTATCTTTCTTCTACCTTTCTATTTTTAACAAAAGTTCACCTTAATATTCACATTCACAAACCCAACTTAATTATCAGTGACTTCCTAATACTCAATCAATGTTTCATAATGCATCCTCAACACGGAGAGGATTAATTAGAGTGGGTGATATTGATAAAATATGACCTGGTAAATTATTAATGACCACCATATAATTCCACATAATTACTAAAGTGCCATGCCCACTATGAGCTAGTATAAGGCTAATGATGATGACGAAGAAGATATCGATGTAATATTTCCAAAATGCGATGAACTTGATGTGCTGCTTCTATTTTGATAATAATATGCATCAGCTATGACATTCTTCACCAAAAGCCGTATGAATAACTAAAACAGAAGAAAATAACAGAGACATTAAGATTGGCTGTTGAAACTGGTAATGGTTAGCGTAATCTCACCAATTGCCATACAAGACCTTGCATTTCCTTCTTTCCTGCTTCTGTTGTTCGTAGCCAATGCCACCATTTTGATGGATGCACCATCTGGATTCTTTTCACATTTTCACCCGTTTCATCAGTGTTTACTGAGTTCATTTCCTCTGCAGTATATATCAGCTTTGACAGGGACAGACCTTCAGTGTGGAACACAAGCCATATCTCATTTGACTCAGATTCAAAAGATTCTACAAATCGAGCTATATGTTTTAAACCTTCTTCACACTTAGCTTTTGTCATTTTGAAATTCTCAAAATCTGTGCCCCTCATATCATACCCACATGTTTTTGCACCTACATCAGCTGTATCATTCCATATCAATTTGTCAGAATGGATTTCACCTTCCTTTGAAAAAGTGGTAGATAACCCTGTCATCGGTATATCCCTCAATGAAAAGGAAGCATTTAAAAAAATTTCACCGAAGTACTTTTCACGCAGGCCACTAAAGTAAGCGCCACTTCCTTGCTCCACCTGAATAGAAAAGACGCTTCTAAGCAAATATTACATAATAGAATTTTAAAATATCAGAATTTGCATAAAGATGTAGCAATGAACTCCATACTTAACAATCATCAGTAAAAAAGTGACCAAATCAACTAGACATTCATCAAAATAAAGCAGAAGTCCACACTGAATAACAAAGTTGTTAAGGAAAAAAAAGTAGAAGAGAAATAGAAAGAGACAAAGGTGGAATGATCCATATTTTTTTCGGCCCAAACATGTTTCTATTTATAGGATTTTACAATAGATAAAATCAAGAAGTAATAAATCACCGAGCCCAACAGTTCACCTTAATGTTCCATGGGATTATTACTTTCACCTCTTCAATCTTATGGCCTATTGTAACTATTTTGCAGTAATTTTTCTACCCATTCATCAATCCGCAAAGTATTTTCAGCAACTACCTAGCCATGGAGAGATAACTCATCCCCCTTATCCTACCGCATCCTCTTCTTCATCGTAGTGACAGATCACTAGTATATCACAGTTAATACAATGGATAAATCATTGTGCAGAGTGGATGGTGGAGCATTGACCCCCATTGAAGAGAGGCCTGCGCCGAAAGTTGTGCAAATTCTGAAGATAATGATGATTATTATTATGATAGTTCTAATGAGTTTTGATTGTGTCGTTGTTTGTTGACTTAGGTGTTTCTGTTTGGTTGCTTGTAGCTTTGATGTATTTTCCTTTCAATGAGATGGTTTTGCTTTTTTTCCCTAATTGTTGTAGTTGGTTGTGGTTTGCTTGTAGAACCACCACCCCCACCCCCAACACCCACACACACAAAAGTATAATCCAAAAATCTCAAAATTAAGCATTTGTGCGTTGTTTCAATGAGGTTTAAAAATTTGCAATTTCAATACTCATATGCATGTGGGCTCCAAAAATTCAAACCCTGATTTCCCATATAGAAGAGTTTTAGGAAATTTGTTGAGTCAAATTTTCAAAAGGCTGATTAAAATCATCTATATAACCTAGAGGACCCACAAGAAAAGCCCTCTCAATCTCCAAAAGAATCATGCTATATATCATCACCCATTACCGACTCAGAGAAAGAACTTCATTTCACGAAAAAGAGTGCAAAGATAGCCCAAGTATAATATCTAAAATAAAATGTCACTAGCTCAATAACAACTCTAATTACCATTGGCACAACCCAGCCCAGAGGCTCGACTTAATGTGATGAAAACATATGGTAGGATAGTTGATTACATTTTTGTTTACTAACAATCTATTTCCAATAAACAGAAAGAGCCACTTAAACCTCTAAATTTTAAAGTAAAAAACTATAAATATATTTCTCTCGGAGTGTCGCACCTATGATGTATATTTTCTCATCGTCAACTAATTTAAATTAATCGAATAATACATGTGAATGTTTTTGCAAATAGAAAGTGAGTCACCACTAAGTGAGTAGGTCATGCTTCTAAATTACAGTAATATAAGACCTTTGAAATAATATACATGCTCTTTTCAAAACATAAAATAATTCTATTTGAAATTTATTTTAAATATGACCATCTAAGTGATGCATATTTACATGTGTCACATATATCATATATTTATCATTTTTATAAATAATACAACCATCATAGGAGATAACAACTAAAATAGTACCACTTAAGATACTCCTTTTTCATTTTCATTTTCATAACATTTTTCATTCAAGCGCAAGTAAATTACAACCCTAGTCAATGTTATTGTCACAACTCAACCCGACCATGATAGGTCATATCATGTTGAGCTGTGATAGGCTAATCCTAAGATTTATTTTTAGAATGTTTCAGATTATCTTCCAATATTCATTTTAAATAAACTATTGACTATATAACTATTAAAATATACAAATACTAAAAATAAACTCATCCATAAGATTTATTTCATTTCCTCAAAATATATCTACACTACAGTACATGGCCACATGCAAAAGCTATAGAATTGAAATGAATAATAAACTAGCAATGACTGTATAAAAATCAAAATAGGGAATAATGCGTTACAATAGCTCAGCAGGCCACACAAACAAAATCTAAATTTCCAAATTCTTTTGTTAAATTTTGCTGAATATTTAAATAAGTTAAAAGAAGTCTAATAAATTATGATACTAAGAAATGTAATAGGAGCTTAGGAGTAATCAAATTATTTAAATAATAATATTGAACAGATAAATAAATTGCAATGCATATCATAAAACAATTCATATCACATTTTCCAATATCAGATAGAATATCAAAGGATTTTGGCTCCTCATGACTCATTTTCATGCTTATAGCACCAAAATATGCCCATAGGCACCATAATATAGCTTATAACTAGGGCTGTTAATATTTGACACGACACGAAAACCCGACCCGGACCCGACTCGAAAATTTCGGGTTCGGGTCAACCAGAACCCGAACCGGTTCGAGTTCGAGTTTTCGACCCGTTTGAAAAACCGGGTCGGGTTGACCCGGAAACCCGGAAATGACCCGAAATGACCCGCTGCCCGCCCTGACCGGGGCTGACCGAAGCTACCCGCGCAGAGTCCGAGTCTGCCCCGCGTCGCTTTGCGAGTCGCATCGCGTCAGGCGTCAGCCGCTGTCGCGCGGAGTCCGAGTCCGCTGTCGCTTCGAGTCGCGTCTGCCGCTGTCGCGCGCATCCGCGTCTCCACCACTTCCTTTACACCTCCTAAACCCTCTCATAGCAATTCTTATCCAAAATCCTCTTCTTTACCCTCTCTTTCTCTCTTTAGAAAGAGAGCTCTATCTCTTTTCTTCTCTCTAGCCTCTCTGTTTTAAGTAAAAATAAAGGCGTATATGCATTAACTTTATTGCACAAATAATAATAATAATAAATTTAAATTGTGCATCGCCAGGTTTTCCACCGATCGCCGTCCATTTCCGTCATCGCCCGATTACTGCCACACCTATGATGCACCGACACGGACACGACACACGGACAAGGACACGACACGGACACGGTAAATTTTTTAAAAATTATAGGACACGCGGGCCGCTATTGGCTGGACCGGCATACTTTTTTAATATAATATATAATAATTTTAAAAATATAAGACACGGAAATGGCGTGGACAGATGTCACTTGAACCTTCACCTAATCCCACCCCCGCTAGTAGCCATAGTCATTTTACTAACAAAACCATCATACATATGGTACACCAAATTTAATTGATATGAAGTAATCAAAAATATCCCAATTAAAAGACACTGAATAAACCATATAGTCTGCCGGGGTCAAAGGGGTTCGACCTGCCCAATAAAATCAGATACCAGGGGTCAAGGAGGCAGCGCCTTAAGCGAGAGTTTCGGGGGAAGTACCCCCGGAACTAAATTTTTGTAAGAGTATTTTGAAGTTCTACTTGCTTTTTAAAGTTATGTAAGTTGTTGTATGGGAAATAGATACCGAGTAGACCGAGCAATGTACTTAGCCAGTTACGAGGGCAGTCCTAGCAATACCGAGCAGTTACCTAGTGGTACCGAGCATGTACCTACAGATACAACAGCATGTACTGAGCGGTTTACGAGCATATTACTGAGCATACCGGCGCATGCACTGAGCAATCACCGAGATGCACTGAGCAGTACGAGCATTGTACTTGAGAATCCCGAGCATGTACTGAGCGGTACAAGCATGTACTGAAGCAGGTACCGAGCCATGCACTTAGCGGTATCGAGCATGTACCTAGCGATACCTCATTTATAACCAGACACGCGTTGTCAGGACACGTGTGTTCGATTTTAATTTTTCTTAATTGACGACCACTCCAATGCCGTGTCGGGGACACGATGTCCAGTCGATGTCCGACGCGTGTCCGTGTCCGACACTGCATCCCTCTCTAAGTGGCCGTGTCGGTGCATCATAGACTTGCACACCCAAGTAAAAAACCGGACCACATAGCATTTATATTTCTATGCATGAAATAATACTCGTTGACTGCTTTTGTTAGCGAGCGAGGAAACATAAGTACCTATTACCGCTCTTTCAGCGAGGCGGAAAATTTATATGCAATGAAATAAAGTACCGTGATTGTTTTTTTATGTGAGGCGCGAAAATTTTGTTATTTGATAAGATATTGTTTAATAAGTACCCGTCATTGCTTTAGGCGGGGAAAATGCTGTGCCTTTAGACATGTATTTAAAGAAACCCGTATCGCTTTTGTTAGCGAGGCAGAGAAACTAGCTGCGGCCGCCGACTTCCTCATAAGGGTGTCATTGACACCTACTGTTGACTGCTTTCTTGCAGCGGGAAGGGCTACACACCCGATGCAGCCCTCTAACGGGGACGGAGCGTTTGGGTGTGCAAAAATTCAAACTGGAACCTACGACTTAGAAAATTTTCAAAAAAATTTTAAATCCACCTACAAGCGTATACAAGAGTTTGTGGAGACAGTTAAATGAATAACTAAAATTTGACTAAATGAGAATTTAACTTGAGCTCATGGACAATTAATTGAACCTGCAAACATTGTGACTCAAACTTGAGATGAACATGAACTCTAAGAACCTGAATTGGACATGGTTCATACATGCCAACCTTGGATCGATGATAAACAATCAAGATCTAAGCGGAATCCTATTCATTCTTAGTGGACATAAAATGAGCACAAGCTTGTGTATGACCAAGGGACTCATGCAACCATACACATGAATCGGGCGTATGATGAATAAAGTTTTAGCCAATAACAAGAAGGTCGTAGCAATAATTTCAGAAGCGATGATAGTCTAACTACAAACAACTGTATTACACCCTATGAACACGATAT